TCCGGTAGCTATATTGGGTGGACGTAAATACGTAACTACCGTGACGTTTTTTACGCATTTTAGTTTCTTCTCAATGAAAATAGATCTAATTGATGTATAATCGTGTTATGAGCCGAGGGACAAAGGTTAGAACGCATTTGAAGGATATAAGATACAGTGTCAATAGAACAGACTATTGATATAGTTGTGAGCGCTTTTATATTAAAGACGAGAGTATAGCTAGTGTACTGAATTTATCAAATATATAATATATAATAAGTATGGTAATTTCTGGTTTAGAATGATTTTATTTTAGTTGTATAGATGACATAGATGTATTTCTTTATTGTCATAATAATGTTATACTGACAAATCTTTCAGCGACAAAACACTATATAAATTAAAGTTCATTTTGCTAGATAGCTGCAAGGTCGAACAACTAAACTACGAATAACAATATTGATTGTACTATACCATAATAGCTTTGGAGTTATGATTTTCATAGAAGAATGTGTTCATATTCCTCTGCATCAAAATAATATTGCACCTGAAGATGTTACAATAATTAAATTATTTTAATTTCATTTTATGATTGTAATTCAGTCCCCATACTTACTTTAGAATCGATATAAAAGCATTCATCGATTTTTATATCATTTTCGAAGTACTCCGACATAAATAACACCAGCATGAAACAACAGTAAATGACTTTATCACAGAAATGGGAATTATTACTACTTCTATAATTTTGTCAGGCAACGAGAGTTCTGGAATCGATCTGCACAATATGTTCATGTCATATTTCGTCCATATTGCGGATCAGTCGTTTGTGATTTAATTATGTGTATACCTCATTAGGTAATCTGGCAATATGTCGAGGCCTATGCGCACATTTTTCAGCCGAGATTAATAAAAGATTCTACTTGATCGTAATTTAAAAACATATGAGCAGCATTTACTATGTGCTAAAACTAAACTTTGAATTATTTCACAAGAATATAATTTTTGGTATTTTCAAAACCGAATGAAGTCTTATAATGACTATTTATGATAACTCTATCTCGCAGGTAATGAATGAAAATTTACAAGTTTCGATGCAGAGTTGTTAATGGCGACTCGAACCAAAAACTAAAAGGCTAAATTAGAAATCCTTTTCTCTTCAGTCTTAAAAAGCCTCAGAAGTAAAAATAATTCAATCAGTGACATCGCTTACGTTTGAAAGCATGTGAGAATGTTAGTTCGTGAACGTTGATGATTGAAATAATTTATCTCAATATCGAACCCATCACCAGCTTATAAAGTCAGTCCGATTTATTAAATCTTCCTCAATAATATGTTCCTAATTTATATATTGGTATAAAACGTCAGCCCAGTGCTCAGTGTGTACATTTCAAGGTCAATCGATGGTTTTCTTCGAACATTTGAAAGGTAAATATATAAACCCACTAGATTGCTAGAACACCCCCCAAAGTCATGTGATTCGAAAAAATTGTGTGTGCCCTTTTTTCGATCTTATTTTTTGAATACTGTCAGCCAAACTTATACAAATAGGTATACATTATTACAAATAATCAATCGGCCTGGAATAATAAGAAAGGATTTCGTGGATTGTTATTTGTCTTTCGATTATCGATGACGTTAATCTTATGAATTTTTTTTTCATTTCTTTTTTGACATTTCGCAGCGGTTATTTTTAGTCGAATTTACATATCCGCACAAAATTCGATTGAATCTCATTAAAAATCAATCTTGCTTGACTTAAAATAATATGATTAAAGGTATATTTCAGACTGCGCTGTGACGTAATTTTTCGGAGAATTTGCCAATTTTATTTTTATCAAATTCTTCATATTAGCTATCCCATATACTTTGTCTTCCAGAGTTAAAGACGAGTCACGTAACTCGCAATCTATAACTTGTAACCTCAATTGGGCAAGTACTCGCTGGCATTCTTGCTCCTCTCTTTGTTATTTAAAGGTCAAGTTACAAGATAGCCAGGGGATTTTGCTGAGCGTGTACTTAACTATGAATGGACCGAGTTAATAATAGTTAGCGTCGGTATCGGAATACAAATCTCTTACTATCTCCTAAATCAGGTAGAGAGCAAAATAGCCACCATATGTTTAATTCTATGAATCGGCCAGCTTGCATTAAAATTTATTCGTGACAGCGATGGGATATTTAAACGTGGTAGTTTTGATATTTGTGCGGGCATTTATCTATTAGCGGTTAGTTCATTTACTCTGGCTATTTTGACATCTCAAGGTAACTATCTTCGCCGGGTTCTTTATAAATGTGAATTCAAGTTTTTTTGATCATAGAAGCTCAACACGCTTCGGTGAATGCTGTTTGAAGCGAATCTGTTTTCGATATTTCTTTACGAAACTACCTTGCGCAACTACTGTTACATTTCTAGTGAGTAAAGGGGTGGTAGTTCGTGATCCGGAGTTGATAAAAATTGTTGACGGTTTTTATCGAAGTTATACCGTATATAATTCGAAATATTAGTACGCAAATCACGGAAAACGGATATATATACTTGTATAACATGTACTTGATTTATTAAATATTTCATTGTCGTTGGTTTTTTGCTTCGGAGTGGGCCTACACAACTCAATTGAACCAAAAAGTCGTAACAAACTAAATTAATTGTTCATGTGCCTCAAAATTGAGCACGATAATCGAAGTATATATTTCCAAATATATTCGCAAGATCAGAGAGTACGGATTACTGCTTGTTTTTGTTGATGTTTAGTAACAAACGACTTGCTCGCATGCATGTAGGTGCTTCCCATCAGACTGAAAAATTGCTTCGCCAATAACAGTCGGTTTTCAAATAATGCTTATTGTGGTGTGAAACTGATGCCACTTTACCGTAGGCAAAACAAAGTTCTTCTGAGTTTGTTTCCGGCTACAAATGAGTAGGCTACATAAATATACATCTGTCCATTAATTTGTCCGTTCTCAAATGAATATTTTCAAATCACCTTGTGGCCATGTAAATAGCGGGTCGGCTTTACAGTGTTGTTCTTCATTTTATTTGGTTGTAAATTTATACTTCTACGCATAAATTAATTGTACAATATCTACAGAACGAGATAATAGGTTTACAGACAGAGGGTCTACACAAATTTCCGACATCTGGCTATATCGTTAATTTAGATTAAGATTAGAATGAGTAACATTTTAAAGAGTATTACGGATAATAAAAATCGTTTATCACAGTCAAACGAATCATTAATTGACGTTAATCAGTTACGATTGAATCTATTATGTTGGGTTACGCAACGGATTAATTGAAATTATTGAAAAATCGATACATTTTCTGAGATAGAATGATTTAGATATGATATAATATGTCGAGTACTGCTGCTTTATGATGACTATAAGAATAAATATTTATTTGCAATATGCTATTCTGTTTTTTAAGTAATAGTAAACCAATGGCTTGGCTGCTAATTTTTATCCCAATTTTCAATAGCAAAATCGTTGCAATAATATACGTTTGATTCTATAAATAATATCTGTGTACATAAATACTTTCACTTTAGAATGAACTGGGTAACCTAATGCTAATAAGGAAAAGACAAAGAAGTATAGATATGAGCAAACTAGTTGTACTCTACAGTTGTGTCATAGTACGAGGTTGGATGAAGCCTTTGTACGATGTTCTTCCTTCATATTCCCGCAAGGGTGAACTACAGTACTTTAGTGCAAGTTTGATTGAACGAAAATACTTATAGAGAGGCATTAAGTAAGGTAAATATGAAAATTTAACGATCAAAAGGTTAGTTGTTGTACAAGACAAGGGTATATACGGTTAGTGAGATACCAGCGAAATATTTCTATTGAATGAGAGGTTTTAATGCTTATATATATATATATATTAATATGTACCACTTCATTAATTTTTATTATTTGATCCACGACTTCAGTATTTGTTTGCGAATTGGTACAGCTGTATACATCTGGTGTTGTATATATTTGTACCAACACTATAGATTCTGAAAGCAATTTTAAGACTGTTTATTGCTTTAGTCTTAGACAAAGCTTTAGTAAAAATGATCTCATTTCTACTTCGGGACCTTTCGCGTAGGAAGTGCCAAATATAGCAACCTGATGCGTCACAAAATTTTTTTAACGACATCTTTGTTCTAACGTCAAATTTAGGGACGTCGAAGAAACGTACAAGGTCATCTGACGTCGTGAATATTTGATAACATCATTCATTTTATTTTCTTAATCGATTTCGTTGTTTTGGATAAAAAAAACATGCAGTATTTATGAGGTTTGAATACCAAAGTGCGTGCAGATTTTGTTTCACCAAGTACTATTTAAGTTGGTAGCGTTGAGAATTTGATGTTCTTAATTAACCTTGGGTGAGCAGACCCTAGGTTGGAACTTGATCGTTACAACATTTTTTTATTCTTGGAAAGGTGGTTGAGGGAAGCTTGCGGTAGATTAGATTTCATGGAAAAAATATACTCAGCTTTGATATTGAATGGTTCGATATACTGTAAAACTGTACTGTAAAACCAGGGGTGTTCAAAATTTACTACAGGAGGGCCAGATACAAATAACCGGGTGAAACCGCGGGCCGCAACTTTATTTAACATGGGTTTGCTAATAGTTACAGGCACAAGTGTTTTGGTTATTGATCTTATGACAATACGTTGTTCGCTCCGCGCAGGCTAGCTGTTAGGGTATTGTGACGTCATAGGCATAGATAATAAATTGGACTCAGTTAAAGCTAAAGGCCTGGGATTACTCGCACGAATCAGATTGAACTAAATTACAAAGTTGCACACTTCTACTGTAAACTATGAACGGAGTCACGGGAAACAGAAAGAACTTAACAACAATTGCTCTGAGATAAGAACAGATGAAATCATTTGCTTTTATTGATATTTGATTTGATATTTTCGTTCAGGTAATATAGTACAGGACAAAATTTCTTATGCAGCAGTAACTGCTCTGTTTATTTAACCTAACTTTGTTTTTATTTTTTCTAAAAATGCAAGTTTATCATAAGTTATGCTACATGACTCAAGTTTCACTGAAATGAATGATAGTAACAATAACACTAAGTTATTCATCGAAGAATGCAAGGAACCTATCGACAGACAATGTGATTGTGTTAAAGTTGAGGTAATGTCTGATGAAGGCGAAATTTTGTCAGAGTGTGGACAAGAACTACAAGAAATAGGAGGACTGAATAACAGTGGGTAAGTTCAATGTGTTTTAAACTTCAGTATATATTAAATGCTACCTACCATTTTTATTTTAACAACCCATTTTCTTAAGAGTATCCAAGTACTTAAATTAATGCCATCGATTAATAGATACTTTAAAATCAATGAAAAGGAAGAGATATGTATAATTCTTGTTCTACTTGAAATATTTAATGCTCATCAATATTATATGTGGAGACTGAGTATCGCATGAGTATGTGCATGACTCAACCTACTTGGAAACAATAGCAAAATTTTAAAACTTGAAATGATGTATGACATTATTTTAAAACTTGAAATGATGTAAGATATTATTACAATATTAGGTCTGATACTATATTAACCACGCATGATGAGTAATAAAACACTACAGTTGCGTGCCATTGTGATTTTTTGGAAACATCGTATGGGACGTGCTCAAATTGTAGGGAAATCACCAAAACAAGGCAATATTTGAACTTGAAACAATAAATCAGCTATTTAATATGATGAATAAAACCTCGGTTGGAAATCCAGAATATCATTCATTTGACAATACACCATTTTTTTGTATTGAAACCAAAAAATGGCATGGGGTAGTGTGTGTTAAAATTGTCTGAACCCCGTAAAACTTGCCAAATTAAAAACGAAATTTTTTTCTAAAATGACATCAGCTTATACTAGCAGCAATACATATTTTAGTCATTTTTATTTTATTATCCAAATTTCCGTGTGACCTGAATGAGGGCAAATGTGGAATCAGTATTAATCAATGTCTACTCGTTATAAAATATTAAAATATAACAATATAATAGTAGAAAGAAAGTAGAATGGTTGGAAACATGTCCCATACTGTAAATTCTAGACAGACGCATATGGAGTGGGATTATTTTTATTTCCCAGGGGTAGCTGATATGTTTGTTGGAAAATATGAGTTCATCTTTGAAGTAGGTTTTATGTATTGTCGTTCATTCAAAATGACTACGAACATTTATTTCGAGTTCATTCAGAGAATTGAAGAAAACAATTTTTGTGATGTCATTCAAGTCTTCATATATATTTTATAACTAAAAACCAAACGCAAAATATTATTAAAATGGTTTGCATCGAACCTTCAAATGAAGTTCGAATTGGCTTCTCGACCAATTCAAATACTTTACAGATGTCCGAAATAACCAAAATATCTTATTATACCAGTTTTTATAATTTTGCATTAAAAATGGTATATTATTGTGCTTAAATCTCGTCAATTCCTATTGTAGGCTATATGGGCTGAAATGTTTCCAATTTCGTATTTTATGTTTAGAGAAACGGAAAATCCAGTTCGCTCTTTAATAGAAGCACACATCGGTCAAATACTGGGAAAATTTGCAAGCAATGATCAGGTCTGTGCACAATCTCGAAAATTTTTTTTCAATTCGATAATAATATATATTACAATAGAATCTGCTACAATGTTGACAATGTACATTTTTCTTTGCCCACCAGTGATGTTTTTGCATATCAATTCATAGCGGAAACTTTTTCCTGAAAATACTTTTGAGCTATCAATGCAGTTGGATAAGATATTTGGAAATATACATTTTTATTAAATTTTAAAAAGTTGGAAAAGTTGCACAAATGTCAAGATAATAAATCGCAGATTTTGATGCCTCGCGTCATTACTTCGCACATTATAAACTGAATAATACCAATACTTTATTCTTAATATAAAGAGATTGCCCATAATTCTGGTATACTTTTGGTATACTCCTGTCATAATGGAATATTTCGTTTTTGCCATTTTACCATTGTGCAGTTAACCACATGCAGTTGATCGGGGAAGTCAAAACACTAATCTTGCACCAGTTAGTTTTAGACAGACGTTCATTAACTTGGACTATTGTTTTTTTTATCTTACCAATGTTTAAAACGATTTCTTACGTTAAAAACGTAATTCCCATTTGTTCACCGGAGTGCAATGCGTTTTTTTTTATATTTTTAATTTTTTTTTCAAGTAGCCGTCGATGACAGTTGCATGTATGAGCGGTTGTATGCCCGTTGTGAAGTATTTCGCATTTAATACACAAGTGGATATCAATAAACGGGACAAAGATGGAAATACAGCGTTGATGTTAGCAGCTCAGGGAGGTAAATTTGTCATTTTATGTGTTGCTCGATTCTTTTCCTATATTCTTAACGCGCAGCTCTGTAATCTCTGCCTATTTTCTGAGTCATTTTTCATCTTATTGTCACTGTTAAAATATCCTGTGCAATACTCTTTTGATTTGACGGTACTTCACTTTTCTTCCATCAACCATGGTTGCTTTCATAACTTGTCGAACTTTTCCAGTAGTTATTTTGTCGAAATAAACTTCCTTTTGTATATTTGAATACTAATTCTAGGACATGTCAATGTAATACGATTCTTACTGTGGAATTATGAAAATATTGCTGTAGACGCGGAAAATTATCTTGGCGTTACAGCATTAATGAAAGCAGCATTACGGGGGCACTCATTGTGCGCAAGAATTTTGGTTTTGGCAGGTTAGTTGATTTCTAACGAATAATGTAGATAATATCGCGACAAGCGGAAGGCTTATGTAAATCCATTTTCGTTTTCTATTTCATTAAAAGATATTAAAAATATTTCACAACGATGCAATGTACCATAAACATTGAATATTTCATCACAGGTTCTGATATAGAAAAACGAGATCGAAGTCGAAATTTTTGTGCACAGGAGTGGGCGCTGTTGTGCGGGTTTAAGCAAACAGCTAAAGTCATAAAAAGTGTTGGAACTGCAGGTCCATTGCACATCAGTAGAAAAGAAGTAATAAATGATTTGAAACAGGTGTGAATTTATCTCAAGTTTTTAATAGGACTGTGGTATGAAATTTATCATCATCCAATTTTATTTCGAAAACGTAATCTTGAACAGTATGATTTCAGTTATATATTTCCAAGACTGTAATTGTTAAGACAGTTGCTGAAGATAATTTTTGTCGGTCGTAGGAGACAGTAGAGATATCCAAAACTCTGTAATCACTTGACTTTGCCACATGGGTACTGCTTCATACTTTTATTGTATTTTGGTGTGGGATTTGGCTGAACCAAACGATCCATCTATATATGATATATATCTCCTATTTATTGGTAAGAGCTGTAAGTAAACTGACGACTTTAGCTTGAATGCACGTGAATTGGATATACACATTAAATTTATTATATCATTTTAAGCGTATTTCTAGCATCCATTTCATTCGCAAATTATGATAAATTTCTAATTCTGATGCCACTACGTTAGTCAAAAGGATTTGAATGAATTTGTAAGTTTATTAAAATTACCAACAAATGGTAGTGGGAATTATATTATTCAGAATACTTTTTATCTATTTTACACAAAGATATTGAAACAATGAAATTTTTATTTCAGTCAAAATTCGATGCAGCTAAAGAAATGTATTCAACGGTGAAACGAAAAATTTCAAGAACATTTTGTGGGAATAGACGGAATTGGACAGACGACGTTGGATCATTATTTTACTTAGTGGATTCCACTGTTCACCCAAACAATGTACTATGGGATATTACCTGGGACAGGTGGGATATCTAATATATAAGTCCAGGTTGCCGTGAACATATTCGAATAATGATCTTTGCTCGTGGTAGAATTGGCATCAGAAAGTAATATATAATGTACGCTATCTTGCCTTGTGAGTATGTAACTTCCTTGCTCAATTCTGTCATACTTGAAAAATGATTAATGAGATATTACTGTAACTATCAAAAAACTGGATTATTCTTCGACAAATATAGGCAACGAAGAATATTGTACCGAACCCTTATTCGGCAAATTCCTTCCTTCGCCTGTTGCGGAGCCATTTATTCCCACATCATTATGCACAAGAACTACTTTATTTGTTCAATTTCTAATAGATTCTTAGCTAGTGTTATTCGCAAGTTGTACTTCCTCTTTTGTACAGTTTAGGTACTGGGTAGTGTGGTGTGTATAAATAAGTATAATAGTTATGAGAACGAACTGAAGAATATTAATGCTACAGGCTGACGCAAATACAAAGCAAAATTCTTACCCTTCCTGGCGAGGAATTTCTACCCGATTGAAAAAAGTGGTGTTCAGCGATTTCTATGTATTCCAATAAATAATGCATAAACGAATATATAATTTATACTTTAATATTTACTTTGTCTTGTCATTTAGGCCGTGCATTCTTGAAGACGGAGATTCTTCGAAAGAGCGAAAAAATCAAAATATTACGAATGAACATCAGCAAGAAACTTGCTTACAAAGTTTTCAACAAAATCAGAAAAAGAACAGTAGTCGAAAATATTCTGCTAAGGAAATTCCAGAAATTACGTGTACGGATACATCGCCGTATACTCGAAGAAAAGTCAAATATATGCAAAAGCAATCAAAAGACAAAAATGTATTACAAATTCCATCAAGAAGGCGAAGAAATGTAATAACATAAATAAAAATATCGTCGGCGTATATATATGATTCTCGTCTGGCATTTTAGTTCGGAACAAAACGAAAAAGAAATCGAAACGATTCTGATATATATTTTCCGCGATTAGAATGAAGCGAAAGATAAAAGTTGGTTCTTGGGAGACCACACATGAGATGCAATATGATTTAACCAGACTAACGATGCCTCAGAAGAACAATAATCAAACAGTCAAAATTCGAGAAAGCTCGTATTGCTTGTTTACGAGACACATGTTACGTCTTTTCAAAAATAAGAGAAGTGACCAAACAATCCACCTTGGAAATAAAGTGTGAATAGTACAGCATGTGATAACTTGTTTTCTGTGTTTTACGAAATTTTTTGTTAATTATAATATACAACTGGGTGAAATTCCATTATTCTACATAAGCCTATTTGCAAAACACACTATTAACCATAACCCTTACTGTGATTTGCTCAACTGAATTGTGATCCTACCATCAGCAATAACAACTAGAATAATCACTTCCAGATGTTGTGGCACAAAGCATACGATAAATTAGAATACTGATTTTTATGAGCTTGTTTCGATACATCTGAACATGTGTGCTAGAGATCATTTAACTCGTTGGCCTTCGCCCGCCGATGAGCCACAGTAAGTCTGAAATTCTCCACACAAAATGTGCAAACTGCGTCTAAGATTTCCCAGTAAGGACCAATAATATTTAGCACGAAGTCTCATTATGAGTGGTTCAAATTAATGAATTTATTTTATAATCGAATCTAAATTATCCCATATATTGTAAATATTATTGTGATAATACATATTTTCGTCTATCATATAATTTTCGCGCAAAAACATGTAACGTGCAAAAAATATCTCCACCCATCCAAAAGAGTAACACCATTGTAATTTGTATTTCCCTAAAAATGTGAACGATATCTTGAAAACATTTCCATAAAATATAACTTATCTTCAAGCATTTTTTACTGATATTTTACGCAATTTATTCAATAGTTTGTTATTATTTAACTTTAGTTACGTCAAACAACTTTTTGTTGCAAGGTAATTTTTAATCATTGTTTTGTCTACAATTTTGGTTTGCATGTTGCAATATTTTTTCAATAAAATCAATTTACATCATACTGTGTGCAATCCTCATTCCAAAATATTCAATAACCTAGTGCTAAAAATTTATGCTGCGTTAGAAAAAGTTTTTTGTTCTAATTTCGCGAACAAAAAATAAACGCAAAAACCAACGGCAACTAGAATATAAGGGGACTCTGCTTCAATTGCTTTGAATTGAACAAACGATACAGAATATCTTGATAACTATATGATTAGTAGCATCTAGCATGTATTTTCGTTCACGTGAAACAATTTTGCGCATAAAAATAAATATAATAATATTAATTTGCGCTCACATATTTAGGATCAGATAATAAAGTTTTTTGTTTTACAAACACGTCAATACAATTTTCTACATAGTAATTGATCTGGATACACCGTGTGTATTGAAGACTGGGTATATATGAAAAATAGTAATAAAGTTCTCAGGACGTAGTGATTTAATTTTCCTTCAGTCTCATCTTCATTTCTGAGTACTTGAGTGAGTAGTGATAACCTCTGAAATCTCTCCAGTTCACACCATCAGCAAATGTATCGTGTTCGCCACGGAGATACTGCCCGTTAAGATTTGACAAATGGCAAAATCTGTGGCCACCAGTGGATTCGACTACTCCATACCACCAAGCACCTTTGAAACGCTCAGCGCAATCATCTGAAACTTGATCATGGTAATGATCTTTGGAAGAAAACTGAACGTTTGTTATTTGAAAGTCGTTTCCTGTAATAGAAAGTTGAAATCATATTACCTTGGGCGTTTTTATATGCATACATTGTCCAATATAAACACTTATGGCTTTCCATCTTATTAAGTCATGTAGACCTATGCTATAGCATCTACGAAAATTGAGAAAACTCCAATAAACCATCTGATTAATACACATTACATTTATGAATGAAATTTGCGTCTCATCACAATGGAACGAAATGGGCAAGTTATCTGCCTCACAGACCGCCATCGCTCCTTGGCAAAATGTGGCTCCTGAAAATTTGCATGAAAACAACCTAAATGTCACAAATGTAAATTGATACATATACCAGGTAAAAAGAGAAATAGACTAATTTGTAATATTTTACATGCAGAGCTGTCTCTATAATACTGAAAATTCATAAAATTGCAAGAAATCAATTTTTACTGCTTGGAATTTGGTGTCATTTTATCAAAGGACAAATTTTCAAAAATATATCGAGCGTATACTTATTTTTAACAACAATTGTATCGATATTTTTCTCAACCTGCAGTTCCTACTTATCCTGAAGTCGTCAATGGAAATCCGTCTTTTTCTTCCCCGATATGAAAATTTCTAAAATTCAAGGATGCACAGATTTTAATTGTATACTTTTAATAGTTTTCTATTGACCATTTGGATCAATAATTTGATTTTAATATATATTTGTATAAATACCAAACAGATCTAAGCAGATAGATCAGTTTATTTAAATGAATGACAAAATCCGCTTGTCAGCCTGCAATTGGGGGATTTTTTAACAAAGATTTGATATCTTACTTGTAATAGGCATACTTCCAATTTCCATCAAAATCTTGAAGGTCGATTCGCAATTCGTATTTTCCAAGTTTCATTAATCTGGAAATTTCCTTCAGTCCTGGCAAAAATATTTTTAAAAGTTTTTTAATGTTAAAATTATTTATAATACATGATCGTGCCAAAAAATTAAAAAAATTCTGAAGTAATTATTACTAATAATAGGAACAATATTTTCATCTGAAATAATCTAGAATTACCAAATCCCGCGAGATAATCATTCCAATCTCTATAAAAATTTACGGAACCGTCTTTTCTGCGTTGAAACACCTAAGATAAAATACGAATCGTACTATAATCAAGACTAACTTGGAACAAACGAAGTTGATCGGAAGAATTGGTATTGCCAATTATTATGAATACCCCTACATGCAGTGGTGGGATTCCATTTTTTGTCAGCCGGTTCCATCACAAAAGTCATATTTTTCAGCCGGTTCTGTTACAAACAGAACATTGACAGTAACCAGTAATACTAACCGGTTCGCTGATCTCATAAAATCCTGTGAGACGGTTCTATAGAACCGGTGCGAACCGGCTGAATCCCACCACTGCCTACATGTTATACGATCGTTCAGGTCTATCCTGCGCAATAATAAAGCCAAGCGTCAATGTCGATAAAGCATAGCTTTTAAAATATCGTAGTGATATTGTCATTTTAAATACGGTATCACTCAGATAATAATATTTGCTATCATCGTTTTCTCATAATACGGAAGTGCATAGTACACACACGATCTTACCGTCCATCCAATGAGATCTGTGGGTACCAAAGAACTTTCCAAAGTATCAACTCTTTTTTCGAGCTTTTCCATTTCCAAATGACATTCACCAATTTGGTTTACATTGACATTAGTTGTGATTTGAGACAAAACTTCATCTTTGTCAATTTTTTTGCTGCAGGTTATGGTACATTGTTCATTGGTTTGGGCAGCCACGACACCCAGGAGCATTAGGAATGATAGAGAATGCTTAAATATCTGTTTCATTATGCTCGTTTCTTTGCCAACTGAATATTAAGCCAATAGCACACGCATATATATATATATACAAAAAAATGTTGATAGGTTTTGGTTATTCAGTTCCGGATATGTATATGGTTCTTCCGGAACAAGCACAATGTATAAAAGTACAATGGGTTCAAAATTATTGAGACTAAAAGGTTAGTTGTTGCTTAAAATGGTGTTAAAAGAATGTCAAATAACAGATAACTTTTCAACCTGCATTGATAGAGCATGATAGCCTACGTGCAGTGTTAAATATCCTTAGCTTTTATTGCAGAATGTTGAGTAACATTGTCTTGTCGAGCACAAGTGATCAAGACTTGGGGTTTTGGGTGAAGCTTCTTTTCAGGATGTATACTTGGGTTTAAGATTCGGTCTTCAAACTAGTAAATTTTTTAATTCTGTTGGTGAACTTTCAAACTTGAGTGCTTGCAGGCCTATCGGTGCCGTTATAAGCATAAACGAGTACACGCTTTGTCCGGTAACTTAGTTATCATCCATGCAATATTTACAAATAATCAAAATACACATAATTAACACAATATTCATTTTCACTATTGAAGTTTTGAGAAGAATAATCACAACCTTTCCAGTAAAAAAAAGAAAACGTCAAGAAGGCTAAACAGTTTACCGATGCCACAGGTCGAGTTGACCGCACTTGATGAAATTCATGTTGTGTAAGCTGAATATTGCCATTGACAAATAACACTTATAAAACACTACAATAACTAATAGTGATGCACTTCTGATATTTGGATACACAACTCGTTGTGCAAATTTTCATCATAAGTTGGGTATTCAAAGTCGGGTGAATACGAGTTCAGTGCAACGGTGTTTATTCATTGTACGCAATACGTTTTTCATTTGCTGCTGTGTAAGGAAAATGCCATGTCACTTGTCAATGCTGAACGATTAGTGAGCTTTTAGTAGGCACGTCTTCAACCGTACATCGAGCAAACAGCTATTCTTTTTTGTACAATATTATTGCATATATTGTAGTTTCGTGCATTTTCAATATTATCCTCTCAATGCCCTAAGTTTGGCAAATTCGATCTTATGATGAATATGATTTCAGATAGTTGTCTTCGCTTGAACAGTAAATGGAAGGAGCAAGTTTTCAACAGGAAAGATTTCTGTTACTCGCGCCATATCTCAGACTTGCACCGAAAATACTGACCAATTTGTTTGTTTCAAGTATATATATAAAGGAAATCGGTATATGGATATCAATATAAGGCCCCGATCGGCTTTGAATGGCTTACCTCGTTGTTAGGTATTGGCCATCAAAAGTTCTATCAATCCGCTCGAATGAAGTGGCGCACAGTGTTAAACATCAAGTATAGCCAAAAAGACTGGTCGATGGAAGATAGCGGAGTGCTGATTGAACATCGCATGTAAGCTACATTTTTATTGAATAAACCCCGATATGTACAAAATTCAATAATGCACAGTTATTTTAAACTTATATCAAACGACGAAGATTACTACTATAAACACAATCAAAGAATAGTTATATAATATTCGACAGTGGAATTAAGTAAGCCATCGCATACAATCGCAGTGACAAGACCACATTGGGATCGTTTTTATTCTCCATGTCCAGGTTGATCAAGTTGTACAACTTGTTGTATTAAGATATGTATAATATTTTCAATAATAGAGATGAGAACGGCAACCACAAAAGATTCAAATATTCCGAACTATTGTAATATTATGATTTACTTTTCACATTTGAGTCACCATTGAACAATCGTCAAAATAAGAATAGTTTATAAGATCCAACAAACGCCAGGCTTCTTAGGAATCGCCTGCTAGTGCTTTTTATATATAAAACCGGGAAAAGTCCTATAGTTATTAAATAATAATATCATCCGGTTAGCGAGATTAGGATACAACTCCGTGCCCGCTACCTGCTCAAGTTGTGAGACAAACTATTAAAAAAATTACTTACTGTTGAGTCATTGTGACTAAATATAATCCCCTCTGTGAAGTAAAATCAGTCGATGAAACATAGGCAACCGATACTTAGGAAATAGGACCAAAAACCATTCAACTTATCCTGGATATATATCTGGCTGAAAAAGTGAAATATATAACTGAAATATTGTAGGAATATAACAGTGCGGGTACTCATAGGATAGGATAGGATTTACATATTTATCCCGGGGTAGAGGAAAGCCGATAAGACGGCTTATTCATATGGCGAACCACGGCCGAGTGCTGAAATATATTGTGTTTCACATGTTAAATAGGATTTCGCTGCATTAAGAGCTAAGTGTATTTTCAGTATATCTGTATTTAGATTGGATTGTGCATCTTTACAATATACAAACATTTGACATTTGATACATGTGTGCTTTTTGACCTCTGAAGGAGTCCAGATCGGGGTTACACTCCATAACGTGTGCCAATTCAATAACACGGGAGTCGAACGCGCAGATAGGGCCAAATATTCCCTGAAGCGCCATAAGGCAAAAAATACCTTGATATTACACAAAACATAACGCATCTCTAGGTTTCAGAACATTTAATAGATCAAACACCGTCGTATTGTACCCAGTGGAACACGTCCCACTGAACCCCGATCTCTTGTTCCCCATAGGAAACAAATATTTTCAGACTGTCCCCCGTTGAGATCAGAAATGCAATTCACTCGCCAAAGTTATGAATATTTTACAGTGCATGGATTAAAGTTGAAAAATATCAATCGGTGGTTTGTCATGTTGGAAAGGCTAAAGTAGAAAAACGAAAAAACTGAAATGGTAGAATTTTAGTTTCAACCCCCCAAAATCAATTTCATCTCATATCTTGCGTCGCTCTACACAGCCGTTGTTCGTTCGTGGGGACGTTGTAATTCACCGAAAAGCGGATTCAAACGTCAAATCGCAGACCTAATTCTGGACATGGTATGAGTGTGAGAGCTGATTTTCCACAGTGCCACTGTTCCACCTTCCCCTACATCATTTCACTTGTTGATCTTTCCCAGGTATGCCCCTATATTATTTAGCACCATTTCACACCATGTGCACACAATAGGTGAATTCATTTCGGAATGCAATCTAAATAATGCAATATATACATTTCAAATACCTATTCTAATAATATTATATTTCCGTATATATATTATATCATTCTTTGCATAAAAGATAATGTGTAATATTTAAACAACCATAAATGTGACACGTGCAGAAAATATAAGCATCTCCCCTTAGTTGCGATTCGGGTTATTCATTCAAAACTTAGTATTATATTCTTTGATGACTTGATAAAAATTTTAGTCAGGTGTGTGAACACGTCTATTGAAATGACTTCATCAAAAAGTCAATGTCAAAAAAATAACATCGTTGTCAATTTTGTTTTCCAAACAAGGTGATGAAAAATATCTTGACTCTTCGATTATTTTTTACTCACAATTCACGCAATTTATTAGGCAATTTTTTTATTATTTTGCCTTATTTGCGTCAAAAACGACTTTCCGTTGAAAGATCTTTTTTTTTTTCAATTCTAATTCGCAAGTTTCAATGTGTTCTCAATGAAATAAAATCTATCATCATATAATGTGTAAACTCTATTTCATATTTAGTATTTTTGGGAGTATAGATACCGAAATAATCAATAATGTCGTGCGTGTTAACATGTTCCATATTTTCCATAATATATATATTAAATATACATCATAGCATATACAGAATGCTATTTTAGCCACTTTTGATGAACTGTCGTAAATCTTTTTGGCCATAAGAATTGTTGAAGAATGGTATCCGAATATATATATATATATATTTTGATATATATGTTAGTCCAGTGTAGTGTTTCAAAGTTGGAACATTTGTGTAAAACAAACGAAAATAACTTTCAATTTTCCTTCAGTCTCATCTTCATTTCTGAGTACTTGAGTGAGTAGTAATACCCTCTGAAATCTCTCCAATTTACTCCATCAGCAAAAGAGGAGTGCTGGCCACGGAGATACTTTCCGTTAAGATTCGACATATGACAACCCGAGGGCGGAAGAAATCCATACCACCAACCACCTTTGAATAGTTCGGCACAATCGTATGTAAGGGTATCGTGGTCATGATCTTTGGTGGAAAACTGAACTTTTGACATTTGGAAGTTGTTGCCTGCAATGAAATATCGAACCAAAATAACGTTCTACTTACCGGGAATTCATTAGTTGGGATATCTATTCTCTATTACTCATTTCTACAGTTTTAAAGGTTTGGGTCTAGTTGTTAATTTCAAAGACTATATAATATATAAGATGTGCCTACTATATAATATTATAATTCTCTCGCTGTCGAACATAGCGCACTTCTAATTATAGCATCGTTTTGTAACATTAATAGTCCCCTAACCTGCATTTCCTACATATCCTGAGGTCGTCAATGGGAAATCCATCCTCTTCTTTTCCAACATAAAAATTTCTGTGAATCAAGGATGTATATTAGAATGGAAATATTTTAATATTCTTTATGACGTATTCAAAGCTCGCAAAGATTAGATGATAGTATGATTCATAAAACGTGATTTATCTAGTTATCTACTCAATGTTTCTCGCTGTTACCGTGATTAATATTACCATATTATCTTACTTGTAATAAGCATATTTCCAATGTCCGTCAAAATCTTGAAGATCGATTCGTAATTCGTATTTTCCAAGTTTCATTAATCTGGAAATCTCTCTCAGACCTGACAAAAAATTTAATTGTTAATTTTTTAACTGCTATTTTTTTAACATTACTATTAACGGCGTAAAATAAAAAAGCGATATCATTTTTTCTATATTTTTCGTCAACGATCCAAAAGCACCGGGCCGTATGTGGCCATAGTACGTTTAAAGATCTCATCCTCACCAATACGGAGGAAGATATCAACCCCGAAATATTCCAATCCTCCCAGCAATATGAGCTCTTAAAATATTGATGAGTGTTTGTGTAAAGTTTGTATTGATGCCAATGTTTGTATGAATGGTGAGAAAACACTTAATATAAAAATATATGGTACTCCCGAAGTATGCGAACCAAGATGGCGGACATCGGAACGTAACATGGGTAATAGGTTAGGGTTAGGCGATAATTTTTTTTCAATTTTCCTTATTTTAGGCCTATTATCAGTTCGAAGACTAGCCAAGAGCCTCCCGTAGTATTTATACCTAAAATTATGACCTAACCCTAACCTAGTACACATATTACATTCCGATGTCCGCCATCTTGGTTCGCATACTTCGGGAGCCCCAAATATATATATATATACCCACCCAACCAAAATTCTTTTGCAGGATCTCCAAATCCTGCGAGATAAGCTTTCCAATCTTTGTAAAAGTCAACAGAGCCATCTTTTCTGCGTTGGAACACCTAAATATGTCTAAAGGTTATTATAATATATAGAAAATAATATATATATACGTGAAAGTGACTCATTTGTCAATATGTGCTTGGCGGGATGTGTGATTTTGTGCCGATTATAATCATCGTGTCGATGCAAGATAATTCGCTAATTTGTTTGTTACAATAGAAGTGTATCTCCTTCTGTGTTTAATAATAATGTTTGGTTTGATCTGAAGATTGTTGACTCCGTTTATTCGACAACCAATGAGATCTCAACACCCGATCAGTTGAATTGATGAACCGGAGACTTTTAACTTTGTTTGTTTGTTGTTTTAAACAGTAATATTACAGTTCAATAATATTGATGAAACTTAACGTCATTTTAACATTTTATTTCTATTTCCACACTTTCTTACCGTCCATCCGATGAGATCAGTAGGTACTAGAGAACTTTCCAAACTGTCAAATTTTTCTTCGAGCTCTTCTATTTCCGATTCAAAATCACCAATTTGGTCAACATTGACATGATTTGGGGTTTGAGACATAACTTCTTTTTTGGTTATGTTTTGTTTATCGGCTTGAGCAGCAGCGTAACCCAAGAACATCAGGAATAATAGAGAATACTTAAATAATTGTCGCATGTTGCCCGTTTGCACATTGAATATTGAGCACATATCACACGTATTTATAGGGAAACATGTTGACAGAGTTCTTGGTGAATCATTTCCCAATATATATACAAATTATCTAAAACAATTTTATTAGGTGGGTTGAATACATATATTCACCCCGTCCCACGGGAAATTGTTCCCTTGCATTTAATGTTAAAATGGGGCAATTTCTCTGATCATATTCGCCGCACAATTGATTTTGTCAAAAATTAGGATGTTGCTCGTGTAACACCGAAAGTTCTTCCCAAGCAAAGAACAGTGTTTATAAGTACAAGGAGTTTAAAATGATTGTGACTAAAAGATGAGTTGTTGTTTGAAATGGTATTGAAAAAGTGTCAAATAACAGACAACATTTTAACCTGCATTGATGGAGCATGATACGTGCGGTGATTCCACTGAAGTGAAGCCTCCTTTTGAGGATATAATTAAGTTCAATCTGAGATCATACCAGACTAATAACAACGGTCTTCTCGATGTGCTAAATAAATAAAGGAACCAGCCATTTCTTTCATCTACAACATTATTGCATATATTGTAGTTCCGTGCATCAACAACACCGGAAGAACCTTCAATCTCATCCTGCCAATGACCCGATTTTTGGCAAATTTCATTGTAAGTTGAATATGAATAAAGATAGTTGTCCTCGCTTGAACAGTGAACGAAAGTGTACAGTTTCTGATCAGAAGATTTTTTGGTACTCGTCCTTGACTTGCACTAAAAATACCAACCAAGTAGATTTTTTCAAGGATAGAAAGAGGAGCGGTTTTGTATAGGGATGAATACATGGTCTCAATTTCATTTAATGACCTCCCGCTTTGAGGAGTATTGGGCTGGTTGTATGAAAGCTATTTTTGAAAAAATTTATAGAATAACCCTCATTAAATTCCCATCAATCCGCATGGTGTGGCGCTCAGTGCTAACCAATAGTTTGCCAAAACACTGGTCGATGGAAGATAGCTGAGGTGTTGATTAAACATCGCATGTTATCTATAACCTCATGTAATATACTTTGATATGTACACAATTCCATAAGACACAGTTTATTTTAAACATAATTCTTGAAAACATCAAAGAAGATTTATATAAAACAATATCATAGAAAAATAATATTATTCGACAGTGAAATAAAATAGGCCTGCGGCTACAATAGCAGTAGGGAGACCATACTGTTAAGGTATAAATATATAGAAAATTTCAATTGTAAAAACTTAGCATGCTATTAAAATTTTATATTTTCAGCTATGAAAGTAATGTTTTGCTGAATTCGTTTTTATACCAAGTATCCCATTTGACCAATCGCACACTTAGTTCTAATAAGATATGTATAATATTTTCAAGAATGGGGATATATATAGAACAATATTCTGAATTACTGTTACGGTATATTATGATTCAGTTCCTACATTTGTGGCATCATAAACAATTGTTAAAATAAGAATACGTTCACAACTCCATTATAAGCTACCACAATTGCTTGCTTGTGCTTTTTTATACATTCAAGAAATGGATACCCACTCCACGCAAAAAAATCTTATAGTTTATAATTAGATTAAACTTAAAGACGTTCAGTTGAGCTGGATTTTATGGTACTTGGTTATTAGAAAGGTAGTAAAATTATTGTTGAATCAGTGTGATTAAATGTAATCCTGTTGTATCCCCTCTGAGATGTAAAAACAGTGGAATGCTCGTTTATTACAATCCAGCTTTTTGAACAAATTATGCACCAGAGAGTTAGTTGATGATTTCAACATATTGTTGTATTGGAGATGTGTCGCTGGTTCCTGTAATAATTTAAAAGAAAATAACCACGGTAATTATGGAGTGGAAACATGAAGTGTGTAGAAGCAGTTGCTAAAAATAAATAAGTGCACACACAATGGTATCAAAATGGGGGTGCTCATCCTAACTCAAATATATACTCAAATATATGAACACAAGGAAAAAACGTATAAAATAGTATAAAATCTTTCACAGTACCAATAGTCTTCCTTATCAAAAAACTGGTGTCTTCACTTACCACCAGATCGCTGGAATGTGCTTGCGGAACGGTCACATGGTGCGCAATTTTTAATTTTGATGGCGACATCCCACAAAACTTCAAAGTGGAAAATGAATTGTGGAGAGCCCACAGAAATTGTTGAAATAAATAAAAGTAATCGACTTAACCACTGAAAATTTCAAAGCAATTGGTCAAGTTGTTCAGAAAAAAGTCTATTTTTCCACAAGAAAAAAAATAAGAATAGTAACAACAAATTAACAAAACGATCCATAGGGTCCTCTCAGTGTCCAAATTTAAGTTTAGGGCTGAGAAAAGTAATTTTACCAAGCAGCAATCAAAACAACTGCTCCCTGCGGTCAAAATAAATTAAACACATCTCCCATAAGTTTTAAATGTTTTTCAGAAATAACACTGAAATAATAAAGCTGAAGCAATAGATATTTATTCATACTGAATGCTGAACATAAAATTATTTTTAAAACTTACCTCCTTGAGTATTTGGAGCACCTTGGAGCGAGTTGTCACTCTTGCTTCTAAAATGCAATAAAATGAGCATTAGCAAAGCATTGATATTTACCCTGAAATAACCTATGCAATATGTGACTATAAAAAAGTGGTAAATGGAATTTTCGGCCCATGGACTGGTGATGCACTGAAAAAAATTAGGATTTTAGTACTGATTATGCAATGTTGCACTTTAATGTTTCCAATATTCAAAGCTTCTTGCTTCAATCATGCATTTGTCATTTGTTAAATCGTGAATTTGTGTGTTTCTAAATGCAAACGAAGTGTCCTATAGCTTTCTACTTATTCGGATTTGTGCTATACACAACCAAGAATACCATAGGCCTACACAGTATTTGCAGTATTCAAAATTGGCATCATTTATATATTAATTCTGGTGATCTCTCAATAAATCCTTATTGGATATCAACATGTGGTTCAAGTTTTCATCAACCAAAGTTGTCAGAAGTTTATTACATTCAATTATCTACATCATATTTGCTGTTTTTTTTAAATTACCTTTAAAGTACTGCCCGATTGTAAATCACGTTTTTGTGTGTTTGTTTTATTTTTTACGTACATTGTACGCCTTTTAACTTTATTTTGAGTTATGATGTCTCCTAGGTATCTCTGCATTTTGTTTTGTCCGTTCATTTTTTGTATTGTTCATGTCAGAAAACCAAAATAAATGATTGGACAGCATAATTGCTTTCAGATGCACGGACTTGTGTTTTCATGACTTACCAAGATTGACATCAAGGTTTCCTGTGAGACATGCTGCTACAAATTGTGCATTCTTACTTAAACTTACTTTAATATGTAAATGAGTAAGAAAAGTTGAATCAAAACTGAACAATTAAAGAGCACCAAATAAATTACCTAATAACAGGAGATGTATTTTCACCAGGCACAGATTTCGTTGGGCTTGGAGTAAAGTATTCCTTCATTGGAGAACCTGATAAACTTGATCTTGTAGATGCTCGACTACGAATTGGTACAGATATTGGTGGTAAAGGTCTTGGCAGGTTTGGACTTGCCAATGGTGGGCCTTCACTGGTTGGTGTAATCAAAGCCGTACCAGAACTTCCACGTCGAATTTGTGTCTAAAAATAAGACGGTCACAGCTAGGAAGCAGATGGAAGTGGATCTGAAGCTACCAGAAATTCTAGTGGTTCCAGCTCCCAATTATTTTTCTACACTTATCATTTTCAAATAACAAAATCTATCCTTTCCAGCTTATATAAATTCAAATGATGCAAGTTAACTTTGTGAAATCTGAAAATCCTGATAGATAATAGTTAAAATATAATTTTCTAATCACGCAGCATAGAAAAAAGGTACTCTCATAGTATGTGTACCAACCAGGTTGGGGTTAGGCCATAATTTCAGCCCAATTTTCCATATTTTAGTTTTCTCACTGTCTGTGTTAGTCAAGTGAATATACCCCCTGCCCATTACACAACTTGATGTAAACTAGGCGAGCAAAATTAGTTACCTCCATATTGTTACCCATACTTCTGGAGGCCAAAAAAAATAAGTAAGGAGTAAGACAATACCTCGTAGTATAAATACAGCTTTGACTTTGACCATTAAATTAAGTGCGATGATATATTATGATTTAATCTTACCATTTTTGTTTGTAGAGAACTTTATACATATTAGCAGTGTTGAAACACTTCTTATAGACAGCATAAGGTCTCAGCATTACTATGAGACATACCTGAGAAGCAGGTGTTGTAGGAGGTGCTGTTGATTGATAATCATCTGCAGAACTTTCTGTTTTAACTGTATTTGTGTGATGTTCAGCTGTTCGGGGATCAGCCAATCTATCACTGCTTAATTTACTCAATTCAGTCCCAGCAGTTCCACCAGTGCGTGATATTCCTAGTTAGTAATAAAGCTAGGAATTCACACAAATAGTGTAATTGTAATGGTAAAAATGTAATACCGGTATATCAAAATATTACTCCCTTTATCAAATTAATAGAAATTCTTAGAGTGCAAACATCTGTGCTTCAAAATTTCCATACAAAAAAATGACTTATTCATAGAATTTTCTTCCAGCTATTTATTTCTCTGACACTTTTGATTTGAAGTCAAGTTCAAGTAAATATTTAAGGACGTTGCAATGATGGGTCATTATGTAGCACATCAGTATTCTAGTATAATTATTCTATTAGTAATCTTTCCGAGTATAAATTAAGAACTGTCACCATGGTTAAGATGAACATTTCCCAACTGGGGCGGATTTCCAGACCATGGATGATTTTTTTTGTTATAAAAAGAGGGAATAATACTTCGTTTTAATTTCAATAATATTGTTTATTTATTTAGTATTATTAAAATAAATCATTATAAACAAATAGGCAAAGGGAGAGAGAGAGATTCATTATTTTATCAAGGTATATGGCGAACGAGGTTGGGAACCAATACTTTAAGTAATTGTCGATGCTTACCTGTGTATGTTCTGACTGTTCCAGTTAAACTTCGCGGAGATTTTAATGGACTGACAGGTGCAGTATAAGTATGAATATTGTTAATTTCATGTAGATATCGACCAACATCAAGTTCCATCATTCTGGGTACAGATGCTGGAAGACTACTATAGTTTGGCGACCTATAGAAAAAAATCATAATATTATGTCATTTTTATCCAAACCTTACAAGAACATGAATGGATAGTTGTAACCAGCCAGTGATTACATAAAACACCCCTGTGACCACAAGCAGGACAAAGTGGGGTTGTAGTCCCGGGGACCCTTCCAAGATACACTCTGGTGATCTTTGCTGAAAACAGACATCAAAATAATTCCAAAATCACCAATCTTATGTAACTGAATTAATAGCAGATTCGTTTCAGTGCTTATTTTATTCGTGATGTGCTTGTTTTTATTATATTGTAATGTCATTTGTTGCACTTTTAATAATGTGACTCAGATTTGTTCCGTCTCAATTACATAATCATGCACCTTGATCAGCAGTGCAATAATGATCTCGTATTTTATACTGGACACAATGGAACAACAGAACTTCAAACATGTTAAGAGTTTAACCACATGAAATATTATCTCAGTATTACTAAGTATTCAATAGTTGAAATGATAACCAAAATGAGATCATTATTTTCCTCTTCCCTCAGAAAAAAACAGGAAAAAACTATCATTTTTAAAACGATATATTGAAAAATAAATAATAACAAGGGGCCAGCTATACAGACAATCTCTGTGTTACAATATTTTAATATAAAAATGATATTTTCCATCAGCTAAATACAATGAACAACAGAGTATGCATTAATGCATACACACTCACCATTTTTCTTTATTGGTAAGAGGTACAGTCTGTGGAAGTGACATTTCCATGTTCCACATACTCGGTGGTTCCACTCTTGTCAGACCTTTTAACAAATATAGTACAATACATCAGATTTGTAAACAATATACACTCAAATATACATATTTGATTGCACATTAACTTGATCTCTATACATAATATAGCCTTGGATAGTATATAGTACCAGGGGAAGCTTCATACTAAGAGTTGCTGAAACTTTCCATCTTTCTGCAACTTGAATAACGCAACTTAAGAAAATGTATAAATATTATATGGGATTTTGTTTCCAGTTTTGTTACAATATAAATAGCGTAGATTTTTTATATTTAAGCAGATAAGAAGGCTTAATCACATGGCGGAGCATGATCTCCAATCCACATAGCAGTCCATGTCGTATATGAAAATAGTGAACCAGTCATTAGTTCCAGATATATAAGATTCAAAGTTGTTAGCAGTTACTATAACACCCTGGGGGAGAGGAAAGGCGATAAGACGGCTTAACCCTATGGCGAACCACAGCCTCTCATCCGGTTGCCATTCCATGTGGGGTATGGGATTAGTTTAGTTATTTGTTTTCGGAAGCATGAAGCCGAAACCGACCAGTAGTTATGTGTGCCACGCTACGACAGCGAGGAATCCAGCAATCATCTCGCACATAACCATCGCCGCATAGGATTCGAACCTGCGAACCCACGCAGAGTAATCAGAGGCACGCTGGCCAACTTATTTCTAACGCTTAGCGCAATGAGCCACACCGCCGTGCCATACTCATGCTCTTGAAATTTGAACAATTCAACACAGGATAATCAGAGGTGCAATAGGCTGATCCTAACATGATGCATCAGCAAGATGTAATACATACTTGAAACAGTTAGTGGATCTTTCCCCATTTCTTTACTTATTTGTTGAGCAGTCCATGGAACACTTCTAACACTATGTGAAGAGTGTAAGTTGTATGTTGGTGCACTTGTATGAACTGAAAAAAATGAATTGATGACAATAAAAGAAGAATTGGAATAGATGCATTTATCCATTGCTTATTTCACATAGTGATTTTAATATAGAGGTAGTGACATGTTTTAACGGAGGTGTTAGATCTGATAACTGAAATAAATAAAGTTTTTAGTTTTCTAATAAACCCATCTTATGAGTGTTACATGGCGTAGGTGTCAATAGACCTTTTAAATACAAGAACTAATATGTGATTGTGCTAGTTTGTGACCCATTGACAATGATTAAGTAAATGATTAAGACTGTTGGACTACTTTCATTGCGGAATGATTCACACAACAACTGGTAATGACCACCTCCACCATACCATGTCACACCTCCTCACATGAACCACCACAATAATAATCAATGGAATTACCTTTCATATAATTACTATCCTGTCTTCGTTTAGCAGATAAATTAGTCAATTGTTTGGCAGCCATTGCTTCCATCTGATACTTGTTGAACTTCGTGCTGATTTTACCGGAATATCTGAAGAAAATAGAGTGCTGCGAGAACATGAATTTTCGAACAATATCTTTGGTGATTAGTTCAAGTATAATATAAAAATTACTGATTGAAACTTGATGACCAAATGTATAAGACATGATTTGTTAAAGTTGAAAACAATATAGAAAAAAATTATCTGGTCATGTGCTTGCATTCTGACAAATAGTCAAATACTGTTTAATCGCTGCCATACTTTGTTGGAGTGCACAATACGAAAAAGGAGTTAACAGCTCAGCTAAGCGGTTCATAAAATATAACCTAAATTCTCTCATCAATAATCATGGCTAACACAGGCTATCTGAGAATACTGGGTAATGATTGACGTGCTGTCGACATGTTCCTAATGCTGATGTTGAAATTTTGCTTTCTGAATTAATCTATAATGAATTATTACTAAAACAAAACTATTCGACAAGAGAAATACCTATGTTGTATGCATGGTTGCCTTTCTAAAAACTTTTTTCATAAACACATACAAGTAGAGACATACTTTCTCATTCTTGTTTTTCCTTTGTAAGATATGAGTGGTTTGATGAGAAAAACTCCAGTTATTTTCTCAAGTCTATGCATTGCGTCCTGTAATAACATTCCAAGTCTTTTTCTTCTCATACTCAAATCATCCATTGTTCGACTCCAGTGTTGAGCACGGAGTCTTTGAAGATCTTCCATTTTATCTGAATAGATAATGATATATATATAGTTTGAAAAAATTAAAAACAGGAATAGATTGGTCATAACTTTTGATCATTTTAATTTAATTTACAAAATATTATTGCTCTCTCAGATGTGATGAATAAAAAACTAAAAATGACCTAGCATTGCCAATCCTGATTCTTTGCAATTGTTTGTCAAAATGTCTTCAACCATTTTTATTCATTGAGAGAGATAAAAAAAAATTAGACAGTTGATTCATTGTCATATAATATAATAATTACAAAGTACAAGTCAAGTATGTGAATAGCAAACCAGTCAATCATTTCGTTTTCATAGATTTAGATGGTTGGGGAAGGATGTAACTCATCAGCAGTTACATGAACCTGCTGTAGAATAGAGTTCATTACACTATTATTCCCTGGGAATTCTAAGCTGCAAACCCTGGAGGGTAATCAGGAGAGCCCTTGAAGGCATGTTCCTAGCATTTGATGTGATGTGCAAACCAGCCAATGTGAATCAGTTCATAAGAATTTATAGATTACTACTAACCAAGCACATCAAAAACTTCAGAAGTGACAAGGTTACTATTCCTAACATTCATTTCAATTTCTTTCATCTTTGTGTGATGAACCATCTTCTGTACAATATGTTTCAATCTTGATGCTGCTACGTCATTGTAACTGTCCATTGTTGCAACAAGAGAATCTAATGTTGACTGTAAAGAAAGTAGAAAATTACACAAGAGATATAGTCAGCATATGATTGTTAACTGATTTAAATATGTTGGTTTGTCTAAGGGTAGTATCCAGGGGATGGGATAAAAGGTCGGAAAACCCTCTTCTAAAATGTAAAAAAAAGGCATTTTTCTGTATATTACATTGCAATTCTTCGTGGCTTGAAACACTTTTTAGACCCTCGAGACTGTTGGAAACCCACGTTTTTCAGAGTCTGGCTAGACCTGCTAGCTGTTTTGGTCCAGCTTGGCAATTAGTTATTTCAGAACCCCCATTTGAAAGCTAAGCTAGGCTCCTGGTTTGTCTGGTTCAATTATTTCAGAATCTCATGCTGGAAGATTAGGGTACTTTTTGGTAAAACCAGAGGGATATGTAATAGTTCATGTGATCTCATCCAGCAACATTATCACTGCATGTCATCTTTTCTTATGTGGACATGATAGCCTAGTCAGAGCACAGGATCTAATAAAGTTGGCATCACAGACTACCGATCCCAGGTTCAAATCCCATGCCAATCATCATAGGTGCAATAAATTGAGTAAAAACTGGCAAATACAGCAGAATTTGGTAGTAGCTATGTATGTACTCATCAATCGCTCCGAGCCCCACAAAAAGGAAAGAGATAAATAAAAAAAACTAACCAAAAAATATTTGATATTTGGCTTATACGAACAAAAGTGAAAGTGAGAATTTTGAAACAACAGAACTCTTTTTAAATACAACTTGGCAAGTATATCTCACAGCGAACAAAAGATTTCTTGACATGTTCAATATTTTTTTTTATGCTACAACTCTCAGAAAAAATAAAATAAAAATAAAACAAGAAAATTTCAACCTACAAACCTGATTAATTTTCCCATTCTTTGCCGATTTAGTTAAAGTTTTGGTATTGTGTTCAGAATCAAGTCTCGTAAACATCATTGTCATATTAGGATCAACAGTCTGTCCACGGTTACCTTGACTTAGTGTCAACATATGATCAGATGCAACAGGTGCAGACGCAGATGGAGTGTTTGTTGTAATTTGCATCTGAAATACCCATTAGACAATGAATATTACGCGATTATACATAGAGTTAAAGTCAAATACTGGGGGTTGAAGCGTTGAATTTAACCATGTTGGCATCATTGATTAAACATCCCAAACCAAATTGAGTTATTCCAGAAACTGGCTGAGTCAAGTAAAACAAAATATCCAAGAAAAATATGACTTGAGTTGTATTAAATTTGGTCATAGCGTTGAAACTGGGCCAAAATTTTTCAGCCTACATTCTCTAAAATTTGATATGTTCTAGAAATAATTCTCAGAATATTTCAAAAAATAAAACATCAACAAATATTGAAAACATGTAAAAAGTAATTCATATTGAAGGCCCCTGTTTAATAAATAGAAAACACATACATTACTGGGTATGTTGTCTTGTTTTAAGTTTGCTATAGTATTTCGTAATTGTTGTATAATATTAGAATCATGTTCAATTCTTCTTCCAAATTCCATTTTCATCATCTCCATCTCACTCTGCGAAAAATAAATATTTTGCAAGACTCTAAAACAATACTGCTTCAACCATAATTACCTGCAGAAATTTATCAGTAATTACCACTTCAGAATGAAATTTAAATCAATTACTGTGAAGTTTAAATCAGTTCATAGCCAGGTTCTAAAATTAGAGATCATCCTTGAGAAAATTTGAATATTGAAAACCGTTTAAAAAACAACACTCTGAAATTCCTTGAATATTAAAATCTTCAGGTCCCATACCATTAGAGTACTAACAGTGTGAATTTTATAATCTACATTATTATCTGTTAAATATGTTAGTTGCTGAACAAAATAAACCAAAATTGCTATAATTCCTTCAGCATTAATATGAGAAATTTCAGCATTATCCTGGGGGTAATGAGAGCCAAAGCATGACTTATCATATGGCAAACCACGACCTCCTGTCCAGTTACCAGTCCATTTCAGGTATGGGATGGTGAAGTACGGTAAGCCTTAACGGACCAGCATTTATGTAGCATTTGTGTGAACCACCTTACAATGGCGAGAGAGTCCAACAATTCTCGCGCACATAGTCATACCCTGCAAGATTCGAACCTGTGAACCCACGTAGGGTAAGTAAGAGGTGAAATGGCAAGGTATTCCAGATGCATAGCATGATGCGCAAACTGCTAAGTCAGAGCTGAGATGAACATAACTTTTAATACTATTGCATTATGGACTCAAACTTCACTAATTAAAGTAAATGTTACAGTGACAACAAAACAAAGAAAAATATTGATATGAAAAAACAGGATATAATAAATTTAAAATTAGAAAAATCGAGAGCACACTGAAAAAACTTACTTCTAATTCAGTTATTTTGCGTCTTTGATGTTCATTTTCAAAATTTGGTTGTTGTTGCTGCAGTTTGAGTTGTTGTTCTCTTTGTTGTAATTTAGGATCTCTGACTGAAGCAGCCGCAACAACATTTCGAAAAACAGATTCAATAGCTTGCAATGTCTTCTCAACCGAATCTGCCATTTCATCAGTCTGCGAAAAATGTTTCATTTCTATATAAGATGTTTTATAAAAATTCTAAACTCAAATAATTAACATATAGTAGATGGAAGTAGATGAGGCAGGCTTGAAAAAGTAGACATTGAAATATCTTACAATAATTATTTATCTAAGAATGGAGTACGCCTAAATAGTACATCTTTGGCTAAGTGATTATTAAATTTGGATTGAGTGCGTATAACAGTACAAATGTTTGATCGAATGCCCGAGGACAGAAGATACAGTTGCCAAATTTTCTCAATTTCTGCGATTTAATAATGGAAATAACACTATTTTCAGCCTTTCAATTGAATAGCAACAAAAATATCATATGGTCTTTGCATAGTCTCTTTACTCTCATAGGTCTTTGCATACGCAGCTGCATGTATGTAAGGTTCTACTTTATATTAGATAGTTCGGAATCTTTTTAGTTCGACATTGCCAAATTCGTTTCACCCTGGGTGAGATGGTGGGTAAGGGGTTTGTACCCGAGATTTTAACCTGTAACACCAACATAGCTACCTAAGTCTAACGCTTTAACTACACAGCCACCGCACACACAAAATGCCACCATTAGAAGCCTGTCGAATCAATAATTGTACTTATAGATATAGAAGAATTGAATATTTTTATAACCATCATACCTCATTTTCATCTGGAATCACAACACCAACACCAGAATCCAAATTTTTTGATAAATTTGTATTTCCTGGTAATCTTGATATCGTTTCTATAATATGTTGTTTGAATTGGAAAATAGCTTTGTAAGATTTTGCAAAGTTTTCAAAAGCTTCTGGATCAGTTGAAACCTGTGATAAATGATATGAATTTCCTACATCTACTGCTACTGGATGACCAATAGTTACAACTAGATTTAACGTTTGGAGCGGCAGTTATGTCATTGCGCTGATAATCAAAAATAAGCACAGCTGCCAGCACTGCTAGATAACATTATCACAGTGTTTCTCAATCGGGAATAATTTTATTGTTTTTTTATTTTGCACTTGCATATCGTATTATTGTAATAGTTGGTTATACACACATTATGAACTATTCAAAATGTAAACAAGTCAGAACGGTATATGTGCATACCACAAGTTGGTGATCTGCAAAGGATTGAATAACAAATAAAAACAATGCGTGAGGTATGTATCAAAAAAAGGTTGGAACCACGCAATGACGCAATATCATATATGATATAATAATCGGTACAAATGGAATAGATTGAAGTTTAAAAGACATTCTATGTGTTTGAAAATCTCCAAGTGTGCGATTTTCAAGAATATGCAGCATGATGCTAGAGCTAGTTATATTGTATTTTTAATGAAATTTGCATATTAAGTTAACAATATACTTGATCAAGTGGCAGAAAGATGCATTTCATGTCTACATATTCAAACTCTCTGCAAATTCTTATGGCAGGTTCAGACTAGCCTTTAGGCATCATTCCAACGCTAAATGTGGATTACTTAAATTGCCAATACTTCCTTGGACAGTGTATACATGAAATCTATCCAGTGTATACAGATATGTATTTCACCCTACATTACCGTACTATATATTATTTACACTTTCTAATTTTCCAGTGTTGTAGACTACAAAAATGGACGCTCCAGAAGTATGTGTACCAATATGAAGTTAACTAATTTTGTCCGTCTACTTTACATCAAGTTGTGTAAAAGGACTGAAAGTTATGGACAGGGGGTATATTCAATTGGCTAACACAGACAGACCCGAACACGTAATAGAACTAAAATAGGGGAAATCGGAATAAAATTATGCCCTAACCCTAACCTGGTACACATACTACGGGAGTACCCAAAAATGAATGGCTATTTCCAATGGTCTTTTTTATGGGCATCTGCAGAAAGTAAGGTCATGTAAACTCACTCTGGAGTAAAGAAGACCAATCCCCTCACAAGCAAACCCTAAAGTGCCAGGAGCTACTGTCACTATATACATATACAGTAGTGGCAATTAATGCATAATTTAAATCATAAAATGTACCTGTATATTAGGTGTTCGCAAATTCTTTCCCGAAGATGACGAAGTCAACAATCTTGTTGCACTTTCCTTTCTTTTCATCATTGCAGCTCTTTTCTCTCCAACCATGCTTACTACTGACTTTATACTCACAGATGAAAGCGGTTTTGGTATTTCAGGACTGGTTGCTTGCTCTCGGTTCTATATAGGAAATATTATAATATGAGACCTAACTAGCAGACTAATATTAACTGCGTTAGCATCATATCCACACAGGTTCTAATTAATTTGACTTTTCTCTAAATTTATGACAGCTATTTCGCGCACTCAAAATGAAATGAATTGCCTTTATTTATTAGAAAATTATCTAACAATGTACAATCATCTAAGACATCATTTTAATTTTGGCCCCATAAGAAGTGAATGTGAGAGAAAAGTAGACAAAAGATGGCTTAATCATATATAGTGATAACCGGCCTCTCGTCCAGATACAAGTTGAGGCCGGGAATACTTTACACATTCAGTATGAGTATAGAATATTTCATATCGAATAGCGATTAAATATAAAATCCTTCTAGATGAGGAATGCACGAATACTCTTGCATGTAATAATACGGCATGAGATTCTAACCCACACAGAGTAATCATCTGCGCAACGACAAGTACGTTTCGAGCATTTAGTATAGTACGCAAATCATCTAGCTTTTATCTTAACAAATCAATAAAGTCATAGAATATTAGAAAATTCCTCCAGAATACAATCAGAGAAACATCAAAGTAACATGAGACTAATTTTAGGCTGCAAGTATAGCGAAAGTTTCAATTAGTATTATTTGTATATAAATATGAGCTTCAGGTGTATGTTCTTTATTATTATTCTTACGCTATATAACATTTTTAAGTTACATTAACGTGACATTTATAAAAAATTCAGTGAATTGAAAATTTGTCCAAAATTGTTAAAATACATTATTACCTTATAAGAGAAATTAACAAAAACTTGAAAATAAAAAAGGAAATGAAAATGTTTTAAATAATGCTAAATAGTTGAGATGAAGCAAATTTATTAAACTGAAATACCCAAATATTCCTTACAGTTCGATATTCATATGGGGATTATCATTACTGAGAAATGGCAGGACCAGACTCACCTTGACACCTTCTTCATGAACATCTTCAACACTGCTAACTCGTCTTATATCTGGTGCTGAAATAAAACACAATTTTTTAAAAATTTTCTCACTTCAGGACGTGAATCAAAACCATAGACGATTGACATAGACTTAATCAAATAAATTAGGAGTTTGATCCGCAAAAGAGGAAAGGTAAAAAGTTCGCCTTGTTACCAGTACTGGTGAGATATGGAATCAATTTATCATCTGCATCTGAAACAAATAACTGGTTAACTATTGCCACACCGTACATGGACTTGTAACTGGAAAAGAGGCTGTGGTTCCCCATATGATTTGGCCGTCTCGTCATCTTTTATCTCCCCTGGGATAAATATACAAATTCTATCCTATTCTCCTATTCTAAATAAACAATTCAATTTATTACAATACATGGCCATAATCAATTTAAATCCACTACAACATATTTATGCCCATACAAGATTCAATTCTGCATTTCCTGAGTGAGTGTGGTCAAATCCATAAGATGATATGCTAACAAATAACATCAACTCATATGAATGTTGGGGGCTCCCGAAGTATGCGAACCAAGATGGCGGACATCGGAATGTAATATGTGTACTAGGTTAGGGTTAGGCCATAATTTTAGGTATAAATACTACGGGAGGCTCTTGGCTAGTCTTCGAACTGATAATAGGACTAAAATAAGGAAAATTGGAAAAAAATTATCGCCTAACCCTAACCTGTTACCCATGTTACGTTCCGATGTCCGCCATCTTGGTTCGCATACTTCGGGAGCACCGAATGTTGCTTCAAAAAATTATGATAAGCATGAAAACATTTAGAAACACAGAATATATCACTCAAGCTATTTGTTTACCTTCCTCTTCACCTCGCTCTTGACTTGCAAAATCTTCCAGTTGTCTCATTGCTTCATCAGCATCTGCTTCTGCCTCTTCCTATAAAAAATTTCGCATTGGATGCAATTCAACCCCAAAACGACAAGCATCCTTATTAAGAAAGACAATGTGAGCTAGTATATTTATAAACATAAATTACAAATTTTGAAGCATCATTTATAGATTAATAGTTATTAATCACCAATTTGATTTATATTAATTATAATTAAATATTACAGATAGTTATTCGCAAAAATAGATGACATTAGTAAAACAAACTTTTAAAAAAGGAATATTGTACACGTCAGCCGAGTCACTAGTGCTTGTTATAATGTTATGTCAATTCGAACATCTCATGTTTAATCGGGTATTTATTTATCAATCCAGAGACCCACCTATAACATAATCTGACATTGGGTAAATTTGGTAAGCAATGGCTAATCTACGCATCACAGAAGTTTTACACAGTTAAGTGAAGTTGTCAACCTCATTTCTAAGACATTCTGCTTACAGAAAAAGTTACATCAGCTCCTTCAGAAATGAAAAAGACCAATCTTCGTGCAATGCTACAAGCAACTATATAGATTTTTGAGCGCTCCAGAAGTGTGTGTACCAATATAGAGGTAACTAATTTCGTTCGCCTACTTTACATCAAGTTGTGTAAAGGGACTGAAACCTATCGACAGGAGGTATATTAACTTGGCTAAGACATACAATCCCTGAACTCGTAATAGAACTGAAATAAGAAAGATTGGAATAAAATTATGGCCTAACCCAAACCTGGTACACACACTACGGCTACGGGAGTACCAATTCTTGTTGGTGCCTTATGTCAATAGATGAGATTTGAAGCAGTTCAAGTCAATAAGATCGGGAAATATTTTATATAGAGTGCTACAGAATAGTATAATACATTTCCATTGTCAAAGAAAATTGAAATACAACCGAGAACTAGTTTTGGAAAATTCCTTCATTAAACAAGTCGGAATGTAACAAACAAATCTATACACAATGAGAATTATGGCCATCTTGAAGATATGCAAGCAACATTGAAATGAAAAAAGTCTTTCAACCTGCAATTTCTGTAATTGTTGTATATGATCGAGTAAAGTTGCTTTTTCATTTTTCCATTTCTTCCTTTCCTCCCTTTGTTTCTGAATCAGTTCTTCGTTGTTAGATGACTGAATATCTAACGATCTCAATTCATTTATTTGTTTGTTTGCTTCTTCGCGGAACTGAGCAAACTTCGCGCTTAACTGATTATCCTGAAGACTGTCCTGTAAAGACAATTTCTCGTCAAAAATATAAAAAAATGCATCCCCATTCACGGTGTAATAAATTTGCAGGGCCGAGCAAGAAAGATCCCTCAGCATTTATAAAATAGAATTCATTAATTGGGTTTGAACCTGACATCGCTGACCTAGCACAGTTAGGTCTAATGCCGCTACCCCTGGGCAACTACTAACATTAATGAGCAATGAATGAAATTGAAAACTAAATCCAATGTTGCTTCAATGAGTCTAGCTCTGCACATGAGCAGTAGTGAATTTTGTAGAAAATGTCAAACCACAAAGATTTTGGTTCACTGGTAACCACCGGTCGGTTACGGCTTTCTCCACCATCAAGTCCATGTTTTCAAAAACAAACAACCAGCTTACTAATCACATACTCGGCATGAGCTGGTAACCTGACAAGAGGCCAAGGTATGCCATATGATCAAGGCGTCTTATCGTCTTTTCTCTTCCCGAGATAAATATGTAAATCAACATTATCATCATCATAAGTGTTATTGGCAGTTTATCTTGGAGCGTTTTCATAGTGAAGGTCGAATTCTTTGCCTAAATAAATAGCAAAAACCTCAAATTTAGTTATGAAAAATAGAATTTACCCAATATTCTTCATCAGTAAGATCAAGTGGTTGTTGATCTTCCTGTATTTGTGGTGAGTCAGGTGATGAATCTTTCTCAGAAATCAATGGAGTTGCAGGAGTCATCATATCTTCATCTGTTAATTTGCGAGCAAGCAAACATGAAATTATGATGTGAAACTATTTGTGATAAATTGAAGCTTTTACTTTAATCGAATTGATGATTTTGACAAACTTTTTCTTTTTACAACATTTATAGCATATGATCACAGCAGGCAGTAATAGGCATCAAACTATTGAAAGAGGCAATGAATATTTGGAAAAATTATAAGCAAAATAATATTAAAATTTAAAATACTTCTTTTATTTGTATGTGTATATTAACTTGAAATGTAAGTTCATAGATAATATTCTCATACTATACATTGCTTTTATGATACAATAGTGTCATGTGACGTTGATAAAAAAATTTGTCAATCATATTATTACATTATAAGAGAGAGAAATTGACAAAAACTTAATAAAAAACAAAAATAATTTGTTCGTAACGTTAAATAGTAAATAGCGTTAAATAGAGCAAATTAAGATAATCAAACTTTTACTTTGAATGAAAATAATGTTGTCATTGAAGAGGCCAGCAATAGATTTTAAAATACTGAATTTCAATTTCATGATTTAAATAAATTGTAAATACCTAATTCAACACCGTAGTTAAGGGAAGGATATATTTATAATATGCATATCATATGTATACCATATGATATGAGAAAATGACTGAAAATTATTTTACCGATGGCTGATTCATTGCGAGAATCTTGTTTCTCAGGTTCTACCTCGTCAATATGTTGTTGATCAATTACTTGATTATCTTCATTCTCCTTCCCCCATTGTTGAATATCTTCTTCACTCACTTGAATTTCCTTCAAATCAAATTTTAAACATAAATAAATGATATTTTGTCATATTTCAACCTCCCGTATTATTTTGACGGTTGGAGAAAAATGAAAAAAAAAATGAGAATCTAACTCAGATGTGCATGTTAAAATCCCAACAAAACTGAGCTGTCTGAGCACACAAGTTCCTAGATTGCATTGTAGCTAGATTTATATTTTGTGTGTGGAAGATTTAAACTGACTTCATAGTGGGAAATATCATCTTCAACTCTATTTATACAGCCTAAAACTTATAACTGAGGTAACACCAGAAAATAGCATAAATGCACGTTCATGCAGATAATAACAAAAAGGTGATGTACAAAGACATGAGGTATCGTCACTGCTGCAAAGATATGTTTATCTTTGTTCACAATTTCATCAAAATTGATCCGCAAAAAGTCTCTTTTCTGGCACAGTTTTTCTCATAACTAACATAAATTCAGAGGAGTTAAGTAGAAAATTTAAAAATATAAAAGTAACAGCTTTCTAGAATTCGTTCATTACTTAAAGATCATCATTCACAAGAATAAAAAATGTCTCACAACACCTGTATTTATATAATTAATTTTATTAATCAATATATCAATAAGATGTAAATACAAGCATCTTTATACAATAATATAAACCTTTTTAAGTACGATAATACTTCAATATTATAGCTTCATTCACTTTATTACACTTCCCCACACATAGTTTATTGATAAACTCACAGCTTTCAATTGAGTTAAATCCACAGAAGATGCAGTAGCAATTGCTGCCATTTTTGCCTGCTATTAAATGTAGTTCAAGTGGCAAGTTATACTAAATACATTTGGCATCGATGAATTCCTATAAAATTCTTTCTGACTTAATTTAAGTGAAGAATTGTTGAAACAATCGTTTATATCTAAATACGACAAAGAAATACAGTTAATTGAAAAAATTCCTATGCATATATTGTGATCGCCTGTCTAATTTTAGCTTTTCAAATTATTATAATGTTGTTAAAACAAACATTGGAAACATTGACTGGCATATCCATTTTTATTTTCCTTATTTATTCTGAGTATACTAAAACTCTAAAATTACCATCTGCAAATGTGGCTTGTTCTGCAAAAAATATATTTTCTGAAAGTTAAGGTAAAAATGATAAAATGGTTGCATAATTACGCACATATCGATATATCATACTCAGCTTTCTCTTCTCACATAAAATACTATATATTACTACTTAAATTTTATCTATCAATAACAGTACACTTCTACAAATAACAAAATGTCTAACTGCCAATTTATACCAAAATCATTACTTTGAGTACCTAACGTTTATATTCAATACTTACTAAATATTTAACAAACACTGTGGCATCATTAATGTGATTCTCTCAAGTATATAAACAAATTTATATACTTCAACCTTATTTTAGATTATTATTAATCGAGCTTGAAACATATTTAACCCATTTAACAAGATTTTGGTTATCTCTGTCTTGATGACGTCCCAAGATTTATCAAATGATAGACCGTCCCATATACATTATTGACAACTCTAACAGTTTTTAGATAAATCTCAAAGGAGGCAAAATAGACAACAATCGTGTTCCCTACACAAAAACATGTTGGGCATATTTTCAAATTTAATATTTACAATGCTTTTAAGTTGACAGGGAACACAGTTCTTAAAAAAACACTTAGGTGTGGATTAAAACGATGGCATATGAAAATAAGTGTGGATTGGAATAGATAGTCTGCACTAAATACACATTCAGCATCTGTTATCCGTTCTGAAAAGCAATTCAATATTCTATTCAAATACACATAAAATTCGATGTCAATCAAGATATCAAGTGCTTAATTTACTCATGAAATATCCCATGTTTAATATTGAAGTGCCTCTCCACTTTTTCTAATTAAATTCATATTATCACCAACTCATTAACCTTGCATGTGGTAAATGGATAGGTAGGTTATATTGATATCAATATGAGCCATTACTGATGAAAGAAAGCAAAGGTTTAGCTCTAGAAAGTAAATCTGGAGAAAGTTACTGAATAGAATATGAATCGGTGAATGCTATATATTTTGAGATCTAAGTAGAGTAGTAAAGTTGATTAAAAAATTCTTATCTATCCCAGATTTCTAGGTCCATATAAAGAACTGTCCATCAAAAAAGTCTAGCAATGGTTTGACACAAACTTCAGTGAAGGAATGACTATGCATACATTTAGAGTAATGCAACCTTTCCTAAAGACTATGATTTGGGGACGTGCAAGACTATCTTCCTAACCTGTATGATGCAAGGATGCTGTAGCAGAAATAAACATGAATTAACTACACATCAGGAGTCCTGCTGCACACTGAACTCCCTCAGATAAGCAGTTAACCACAATTGCAGTATAGTACATTTCTTGAGATCTGCTGTTTTTTTCTTTATATCTTATTATTACTACCACATATATTACTAGAGTAATAGATTTAGATTTTTTAAGCAATAGTTATGCAAATAATGCATGAGACTCATCAACCTGTTAGTCCTTGAACCTATTCCTGAAATAAAATTTTGCTCTTACTGCAGCTGCAAAATGCATCGTATAATTGGAAATATTGTTGTCTTGCTTTTCATGTCAAAATCTGGACTAAAGAGATGACTGTTGTCTTGACACCCATTTACAATATAAAAGTAGAACATATCAAAACATATCAATCAGTCAGACATGGGTAAAAGATATATCACTTTTTAGACGCATAATCTATCTGTGGTGCTTGTTTGACTGAAGTATAAATTACAACAAGAATTATTGTACCTAAATTCAATGATGATTCATGCTTGATCATATATATTTCTACAAAAAACAAAGACTAAGGAGTGGATTGTGTTATCTGATATAGGGAGATAAGATAACCATTGTTTCATTATACAGAAACAGTCAAACGTTTTGTTTCAAATCAAGTGGGAAAGATAATTGAAAAAAGGCGAATGTTTGTTTCAATTCTTCATTACACGTTCGATATCACAAAACGGTGTTATATGTGTAGTCAGTATAGAAGGCACAAGACCAATGATAAAGTATATTATTAAGATTCATTTCTTAAAACAACTTAAAACAAGACGTAAGGAGCAAGTATGTATTATTCTTATTTGAGATTGAGAAATATTTAGTAATATAAAAAGAGTACGGCCTAATATAGAAAACGCATATATCGGTCCAAGATGAGTTTATAAAGGGAAAGTGTAAGAATATACTACAACTTTATTTCTATTGTAATACAGAATGTTTATAAAGTCCAAAAATATTTTAAATTGCAAAGAAAATTCATCGATATCTGCTTATAAAAAACATTGTTAAATAAACACTAATTAAAGTATACCTAACCAGGTTAAGATTAGAGCTCGACCGATATCACTTTTTGACGCCGATGCCGATATTAATATAAATCATATTTTGAGCCACGCTTTTATGATGCACCTTGTGAGTCTGTAGTTTCATTTTAATATTTGTTACCGTGGCAGTAAGACTTTTATTTAACTAACTTCAGTTAATGCTCGAACAAATGTTATTCTGTAACTTTTCCTGCTACTTCAATATCAGTCTAGCTATTTCCAGAAAAAAAAATTGTTAATCAGACGTTTTAAATATAACTATGGACATATGTTAAGGGTATTGAAAAAAAGACGTGTTGGCGACACCTGCTTTATGACTTTCACTACAATATTTTACTTTAAATACTACTACTCACTAGCAGTTTCGACAAACTTTTTCTGTATTCATATTGAATATGTTGGAATTCTTCTGACTGTATGTATTCAATTTGTTTAGCTTGAACTCTGTATTGCAAGGCAATTTCTGAAGTTAAAAATAGAATAATAAACAAGGAGAATTCAGAGCAGATTTTGAGCATAGAGTTCAATTTTTAAAATTAAGTTAAAATGGTCAGATTTTAAAAATAAAATTTAAAACAAAAGTTAAGCATTCATTACTGCACTGCCACTAAGATACCTTTTCGAAATTCCTTCTGCTGTTCTTCGTTAGATGAATATTGTTCTTTCATTTTTGAGAGTTCAGTCTGTGAAATAGTGAGTAACAGGAAACAATTTTAGACCAGCAGAACAAGGATTACCGTAAATGATCATGATTGCAAACAAAATAAGTGCAAAAGATTGTTTGCTACTGGACATGTGTTGCTGAATTCAATTTTATGGTATTTGTAGCACTACACAGACACTAAAATACACATCTAGTCATGATAATTTCTAGGAATACACCTACCATCAAACCTCTGATTACCTCGCATGGATTCGGCGATTCAAATCCTGTGGGAGATAAGTATGTGCAGGAGAACTGCAGTACTTGTGAAATACTGCACGTAACCTATTGCCAGTTATGGACTTCTTCACAAAGTCCGGTAACCATTCCAACACTCGACAGGTACTGGTAACCAGATGAGAGGCGTGGTTCATAATACGATTAACCCTTTTATTGGTTCCCCCCAGAGAAATATGGACTTCCTATTTTCTGTTAATTTCCAGAATCATTTGCCAACAATGCAAGCAATGATTGCTTAACATGGCATAAAACAAGTTTGAATTATACTGTACTATAATTCATCCTTGTATTTTTCAATCTCTTTTAATAAATACATTCATAATAGCTAAATTTCAACAGCAGAAATTATTAAAACAATCTAAGCACAAAGTAAACTTTCAAACCAGTGATGCTTCTATGATGTCATTGATCTTGGTAGCATACGACATCATTTTTTCATTTTTAAGTTCTTGTAACTCGGTCTGCAGTTTTTCAACCACGGAATGAGCTCTTTTGATTTCATCTTCATGGCTGAAGCGTACATTGTTCAATTCTCTTTTCACCTCTTCGAGATTTTTCTACAAGAAATCAACATTGGTTTATTTCTTTTTGAAAGTTCGAACACTTTTGAATTCTCATTAAGGCCAACCAACTTTAATATTTGCATCCTCTGTGCAAACAATTGTTTTGCTCAGAGTCAGAGACATTTTTGACTAGTGGTGTGTCAGAGTATGCGTATTTTTTTGAATTTATTATTTTAAATTTATGTTTCATGTAGCTAGAACAAGCTGGTAGGTGGTTAACTTCATTAGGCTGACTTAAAATCCCCTGATCTTTTTAAATGATTTACGGTACATAAAAATAAATAGGCAAGCTGCAACAACCCATGTGTTCACATTTTTTAAAGTCTTATTGAAGTCTACAACTCACAACACTATTATTTTAATAAAGTAATTTTATCCTAACATCACCAATGACCATTTAATAAACTACTATACCTACCCCTGATTTTTCAAGTTGAGTCTTGTAATTGAAAAGTTCTTTTGTTTTTGTGTCAACTTGTTTTGCCACCTTTTTAAGCTGTTCTTCTTTGGCTTTCAATTCTAGAAAATCCAGATATGAAGATTTAATAAATTTAATTTAATCATTATTATTATGCAATTTAAAACATAGTTTAAAATAGTATTGTATAATGTTACAATCTGATTATTTTCATATCAGGGTATTTGGACAAAAAAAAATTATAACTTCCAAACATGGCTTTGGAATCACTAGAATCATTGTTGCCAAAATTTTGGTATTCAAGGAACCAAAAACTAATAAGAATGATTAATCATGTGGCGAGCCATGGCCTTTTGTCAGGTAACCAGTTCATGCCGGATATGGGAAGAGCTTACCAGTTATTTGTTTCAGATGCATGGACTTGGTAGTGGAGGAAGCAGTAACTGACCAGCAGTTACATCAAGCACCCTACGGTGGCAGGAAGTCCAGCAATGCTCTCGCACCCCAGAGGATTCGAACCAGCGACCTCATACAGGGTAATCAGATATGCGATGACAAAAGTGTTTTAACACTTAGCACGATGCACCAACCCAACCCCTAAGTATAATTTTATGGGTAATCCAGATTGTTGATCCGAAAACATCCATTCAGATATCACATTCTAGAAATATTCATAAGAGTGAATAATATATTGATTGAAAAATGCTTAATAAAACCTCTTTTAATACATTATGCTACTACAATAGTTCGGTAATCTTTGGAAAACATAGCTATGAAATGTATTTCTTGAGTTATGATATTGAAAGAATATCTGACACCTTGCTGTGCAACTTGTAGTTTATCAGTCATCTTAGCAATATCTTCTTTAGCAAGTGCAAGATTTTTCTCCAACTTTTTGCGGTTTCTGAAACAGAGGTATAAAATCATATCAAGTCATATTTATACACAATGAGTATACTTGCATTAGTGTCAGATAAAATGAAGTTTAAATTATAAAATTACTATCATTGTTGTCATTATTTGATCGATGCTCAACTTAATTCAAATCCTTACATTTATTTCAGTATTACAGATACTAACTTATTTGATTTGCTGGATAAGGCAGAATGCATTGTATTCATGAATCCCATGATATCATGATTCAAGTCATTCAATCTCACAACAGCACTGTCCATGGTATCAAGAGCAGTCTGAATATTGGAATGGATAGCATCAACATCAAGACCTTCTAAACTATCTTGCATTGTTTCTTCAACTTCATCTGGAGCTCCATATGTTTGGAAAAACTGAAAAAAAGAGAAGAAAATTTTGTTCATCCACTCTTTGGTAGGAATATGTTTTTTTATCAAAAATAATAAAAATAGTGCAGTGCTTCCCAATTGGGGAGGAACTTGTTGTTATGGGAGGGGGGGGGGGAATTAGTTTACTGTGGTTTTACTAATATTCAGTGACATTTAAAACCCCTCTTAAAGGACTTTATTCAAACTGTATATTACTAGCTAATGATACATTAAAAATTAAGCAAATGGCAGAAGCAGAGTTATCATGAGTAGTAAACGGTGAATATAGAGATTTGAAATAGGCAAAATGAGGGGTGTATTCAGAAAAGCTGGGCACCACTGGAATATAGTTTTAACTGGAATGAAGTAATAAGAAAAAAAAAACAAGTTAAATTTCTGTATAGGCCTACTCATGTTAAATTCAAATTGAAATGCTGAAAATAGATGTTCTTTATCTGGGGCACATGCCCACTAATACTTGTCACCAAAATAATAATAAACTTGAAAGATTTGAAATATTTTTCACAATTTTTTTTTGTGCTTCTCACATAATTTTAATTCAAACTGATTAGAAAAAAGATATATGGAAGTAATATGAACAAAATGAAAAAGAAATATCAAGACCATCAATTTGATTCCCACACAAACAAAACTCTGCCATATTTTTATATCCAAACGAATTGTAAACTATTCACGAGCACAGTCAGAGAGATGTTTTTAAAAAGTTTGGACTATAGTAAAGTAAATAATAGGCTCTATAACTTTCAAATTCAATATTTTACCTCCGATATTTGGTTTAATAGTTGAACTCTTTTCACACAAACATCTTGAAATCCAACAATGAATATGGTGATTTTCTGTTGATATTTATTCTTCTGAATTGCATCACCCAGAATTGATTGTAACTCAGCCTGAATATGATATATTACAAATCACAAATATCAAGTGTGCTTTATTGTTATCACATAAATCAAGCTTTGCTTGGCTTTCATTTTATCAATGGTAGTTATTATTTTGCTCATTTACTGTTTAATCTAGAGCAATTCACTCAGTGAGTGGGATTGCTATATCGCTGATGCCTGACAATTTTATAGATCACATAAGTACTTTTAGTTGTGTTGCTGCTGAAACTGAAAGAAAATTACCTAGATGAATATATCCAGTAGTTTCTTGTATCATACAAATCCTTGTTTAACGCAAACAGCCATTTATTAAATACATTTTACAGTCATACCGTATCTTAAATGCCCTGATAATTTTCTTTAAATTGCAATTTGCCTAAATAGAGCAATCTGAATATCTATTTCCTTCATATGGGATTTAATATCCATTCATTTAGATTCTATGATTTGAAAACACTGTGGAAACCTCCTAATTTGACCCTGATTTTACATGTAATGGCTCGTTTAATAGCAGCAACAACTTAACCTGTGAAAATCAAACTTACCATATCAGCCATGAATTCAATATTTGAGGCTGGAGTATTATAAGAGGCCATTGTTTCGCCAAATTCATAATCTTCAAAAATCTATAAATTAAAAATCACAATGAATTGATGACATAAAACTGGCTAGCTTGTTAGAGAACATCAATTGTGTGCATACATGTTTTACTCTCTCATTGATTAGTTGAAGTTCTTCTCTTGTTTTATCTTGAGCACGAGCAATTTTTGATTTCTGCATTTTTTCTATCACATCCATGTCAACACCCATTCCAATTGGCATTTGTACATCAATAACCTCCATTGCTTATCTGTTATAAAAAAGACTACACAAATTTACTACACGGCGGTGTGGCTCATTGTGCTAAGCGTTAGGAATACGCTCGCCACCGCATCTCTGACTACCTTGCATGGGTTCGCAGGTTTGAATCCCATACGGGGTAGTTATGTGCGAGAGGATTGCTGGACTCCTTGCCATCGTATGGTGGTTCACGTAACCGCTGGTCGGTTACGGCTTCCTCCAGCATCAAGTCCATGCTTCCGAAAACAAATAACTAAAACTAATCCCATACCCGACATGGACTAGTAACCGGACGAGAGGCTGTGGTTCGCCATATGGTTAAGCCGTCTTATCGGTTCTCCTCTCCCCCGGGATAAATATGTAAATCCTATCCTAAGTTTAAAATAAATTATAAAAAAAAACTCTTTTTCATGTTACTGTTGACAGCAATAAATATTCTCAATTTATTATCCTATCGAGTAATACCTAATATATGGTTATAATATTGACAAACTGAGTGCTCAGACATATATTAGGGAAGTGGAAAATGAACAGATATCGTAGTAATATATATGATTTAATGTTTGAAAATCTTCTTCAAGATTCTGCATGCCAGATATTTTGTAGTGTCATTAAATTTACTGTGTAGGCTATAGACAGATAGATGTATGATTGTTCACAAAAAAACACAGTAGGCAACCGGTAACACACCGATGCCGTAGTCTACCATGCCTTATTTATTATTATTACAATTTATATAAGTTACCCACGTCAAACAATTACAGCCTTACCACATGCAGTTCCTTAAATTTCGAAACAAATGTATGGCATCTTCAGATTTTAATTTCACATAAAATATTACGATAATAAATTTACGATTTTCAATTCCCGGACTCTTTAATGCTGGTTGCCCTGGCTGCTGGTTTGTTTATTTATAGCATAAATGTAGCTGTTTAAGCTGTCAAAGTTCAGAGAGATGTTTCCCCGACCCTTGACCCCCGAGAAATTCTCCCCATACTTTATTATTGCAACATTTTGAATTGTTGTTGGACAGGTAGTGGACACAATGACATATAACAAATGACATATATGTCATTGGTGGACATAACGACCGTTTTGGCATTTTTGTTGTTGTTCTTATGCTTGTTGTTTGACATAGTTATTAAAAAATCACTTTTCTCTTCGATTACTGGACCTATGGACCTTTCCCCAAGCATCGACTTCCTTGTTTATTCCGTGACGTTGGCCAATCAGCAAGATGCAAAAAGTGACGTAACAATGCCCCCTTTTCGCATCCGCTCAGACACTTTTCTCACTCAGACAGATTTTCAAGCGTGGTTGTAAACATGACCTCATTTTCGCATTTTTGAACTCTATTCGTTAGTTTTCAGTTTTTTGTTTCGGAAACTTGAATAAAAATCAGATAATCCAATGATCACTCTGTCTTCTTAGGAGTTTTAATTTAATTGCAGTAATAAAAAATTAGTGTAGAAATAGCTGTGATAGACTAGCCTGAAATTCTTTACCGGTACTTTTAAAAAACAGATTGTTGTGTGCGATGAATCCTAATGATGGTTTGAAACACATACCCCATTTTACAGGCGCCAACTCGCAAAAGCACTCCTAAAATAGCCCTGAAAATTCTGCAATGGTGAAGTATAAGAAGAATTTTCCGGGGGTCAAAGGTCGGGGGAAGGTCCATTGCTTTGAAATTTTCAGTGGGTGAAGATGGAATTTTTCTCCAGAAGGCTATTACTTTTATTTATTTCTAAATTTTGTATGAATTAATGAAAAATTTTGATATTTCGTCCAAAATTTCGCTGTCTTATTTTTTATCCGTGAAACACGGATTTTAGTCCACGCGATGACTGGCATTACGTTTTGATTCTGCAGAAATCTTGCTACTGGAAATCCGGAACTTTTTTGAGCCGTAGGTTTGACGGGTGAATAGGTAAGAAGTCCTTCAGAGGCCGAGAAAACAAAAGTTGTGCTGGACTGATTCACGAAGAGGGGTGTTTCGATATTGAAGAAGTGCTTTGCCAAATGAACGGCTTTTTGAGGAGCCGTCTGGCAGTAAATTGTCCCGGATGAGTAGTTTGGCTGTTTTTACGGCAAGTTCAGCTCGTCCGTTTGATTGTGGATAGTGTGCTGACGAAATTAGACCCTTCACATCCCAAATTTCTTGAATTCCTCTGAAGCAAACTGAGGGCCACCACCAGTACTAGTTCTTCAGCACAGCCAAAACCTTTGAAAAGTTGTTCGAAAACACGAATGATGCGGTTTGTAGAGAGTGATCGATGAAAGTGGGCAATTTCAATCTATCCAATGAATCTGTCTGTGATTGCTAGGTAATCGTTACCGTTTAGATAAAAGAGGTCAGCATCGATTTGTTGGAGGCGTTGTTACTTGTTATGATAGTTTCTTGAACTTGAGATGGTGCAATATAGCAGCAAGTAGGGCAGGAAGATTTGAAGTTGAGAATGCATTTGTTCATTCCCGTCCAGTATAGTACTGGAGTACTAGAAAGGGCATCTGTGCCATATTCCACAACAGTGGTGTATTGAAAAATTGTATTGAGACACTTTTGATCTGAATCTCAGCATGCGTGGGTTGCGGATGTCAGATAGTTTTGGTTGCTACAATGAAATCTTTGCAGCCGAGGATGAAAGACTTGGCATGGTCTAAGCTCCAAGCAACCGCAAGCGCTTCGCCTTTGATGGGTGCATAATTTCTTTTTAGTTTGTGAAGTGTGCCGAGAGCCGGCGTATACGAGATGACAACCATTAGGGCAACAATTTGGGGCTTCATTTGTACCGCAGGTACAATATTTCTGTAGGAGTAAGTAGCCAATATCGTCCTTGCTCCAGCCGCATTGGATTAAAGATGGTCGAAGGTCAAATGATTTGATCTCCTTTTCGCATAGAGTGATAAGTTTCGGTTTCTTAAATATAAATTGTCGTTTCATATGAATTTGGATCCCTTTTTTATTAGGTCGCGAAAGGGGGGAGATGGCGTGAGCCCATGATATTTGGTTTACTAAGACGTGCCAACTTTGAGCGTCGTGAATGTTTGTTGGAGGTGGAAAGTTTTGGATAGAATCAAGAAGCGCTGGGGCAGGTGCAATCCCAGTAGGGGGTTATTTTAAGGCCAGCAAATATGATGGTATTTTGACAGAATTTTTATTTATCAGGATTGAATTCTATCCCTTTTTGAACGCTCAGTGTGAAAAAATCCCAAACTTGATAGAAAGATGATTGAATGTCACTCCCATGATATAGGCATAGATCGTCCACTCCATCACTGATGTCCAAAATAGACTTTTTCGTGTTAGGAGCAATTTTACAGGCAGCTTCTCGTATGCACTGGGCGTTCAATTTTTGTAATTCAGTATATCGCCGGATAGATCTATTTTTCTTCAAGGGTGTGTAGTCTGGCAGATAAGGGGCCTTTTTGGGCCCAACCTTGTTTTTAGACATAAAGTTTTTTTTATTTGTGATTATTCATCTTGGGGTTATTGCCCATCATTTCTACATGGGTGTGGAGTTTGCAGCCTTGAGCAATTTTTTTTACGGCTCGATATTTGTATTAGTGTTTTTCATCAAATCTGTTCACCATAATGGCGCACAACCTGAACCCTAACTTGTTACAATACTATGTTCAGGTTAACAACGGAAGCACCAAATTTACTATGAAATAATAATCAATAACTTTTAGGTATTTTTTGAACCCAGCTTTTGGTCGCGACCCATATATATGGAAATACTGTTGTAACATATGCGTAAAATAAAGAGTACTATTTCAAAATACCCGCTCTTGTTGCAATTAACAATACAAGCTTGCTAATGCAGCCGGCAGTGGTTCAAGTGGATATACACCCGGTGGAGAACAGTCAATTATTTGCTAGCAAGGATTGTTATGCAGCGGGATGATCACGACGATGCAGTGAAAGATAATGCTATCACAAGAACAAGAATGAGAAAATTGCTACATTTTACAGTATATCCCTGAGAAAGAATGTAGTTCATTCTTATGTTCCATGCCAATGCTTTTCAAACTACCAAAGACTTTCAACACTTTTGCTTCTTCTCTTCTATAAAAATACATTGTTATTATATATTCGCATTTCCATCTGTTTGTTCGTGCTCCCAGATAACCGATCAGTGGCCTCCAAGAGGGTCGGGGTCCCATTTTAGAAAACCCTGTCATAAACTATAAGAGGCTACCGTGCTTCTCTTGCCTGTTGTCATGCTGTCCCTCGAATTCAGCTACAACAAAAAAATTCACGAAAACGGGTTTTAGATTTTATGATTTCATTATTATTCTCGACAATGAATGATATATATGCGGGTGATAAAATGCCAGGTTATTCCAACAACATGATCATGTTTTGCAACCTACAACCAATATTTTATATGTAACTTTGCTTGACAGAGCCCCAAGGCCAAGAGATCTAAATACAAATATCAAAAATGTGAGGCCAAAAACGTTACACTACAACATAGCCAAATGTGCTGTATTTACGATAAATAACAGGTTTACCAAAAAGCATTACATGGAAAATGGTTTAAATAAAGATCAATTTAGCAATATCTACTTAGGATTTGGTGATATGCAGCTGTTGATGATTTTATCTGTTTGTTTCGGAAGTTTAATGACAGAATTAATTGTGGTTGTTGGGGATGTTTCAAAAAAAAGTTTGAATGGAAAAAAGGTTTGACAAAATGTCAAGGTTTGAGAGTAGTAAAGAAGTGGAAAAAATACTCCCATGTGATTTTCATTTGATAACCACGCCACAGAACTTCTCCGATAAATATACGCAGCAATTGCGAGAGGCAGAAATGCCAAGATGGGATTTCATCGCATTGCAAACCAATATTAGCGATTCTCAGATATATTCGCGCATTCCCATCTGAACAGCGTGGAAAAGATTATACCTATCTACACACTTGAAAAACTATGTCAGATGAGCGTCATATTATTGAATATCAGTAAAGGAATAGTGCAATGGGAAAAGACATATAAGGCGTATCTTTCAGTAATATGCATCAAATAATCTTATTGTGGAATATATATTTAAAAACAATTCGTCACGCCAACCGCAATCCGAAACTTTTTGTCTCTGGCTGAGCTTGGATACCAATTGGCACTCATGTAAACTGGTAAGAGGCACGCGATGGAGCAGATAATATGAGTATCCATCCCCCAGCTGTCATTTGAGTAGGTACTGCTGTTTTTATTGCAGATGATACTGATTTTTTTGTATTAAAGATTTACTGGCATCACCGATTTAAGGATGTCAAGTAATGGATATAAATAAACCATTTGAAAACCAACACGCAGTATTACAAAACTTACTTCCAACACGCGGTTTGAATGAATGAAAAAGCTGAAACTAGTATTCTTTAAAACAGCATACAAATTCTATGGAATGAAATCATACACAAAAGCTCGTCAAAAACCTATAGCTCAATAAACAAGTGGAATTTGATGCATGTTCGCAAAAATATGCGCGTTACTACGTACAACCGAAGCACGCAGGAAAATGTGTGTGATGTACTAGTGATCAAAATGTTTGACTCAACTATGTTGGCATAACAGGTGCACTTCTCGGTTTCGCATACGCATACCTTCTATCTCCACAAGGATATATTAATTTGGCCAAAGTCAATGCTGCACCTGAAAGGTTCCGGTTCTTCCAAAAGAAAACACGTTACACATCGTTAGATACCAGTGGATGGTTTTGCATGGCCTTGTTCGGAGTGAAAGACGAGGTCGAATATTCCAATCCATTTCAACTAATAAAATATTTCCTAAGTCCCTAAGCTTTAAGCAGGAAAACGAAATGCCCGCAGCAACACAAATGTAGTTTGACGAGAGCAAAAGAAAGTGGCTAGATGCTGTCGATAGATCTTGGCTTATATTAGTGAAATAAACTACCATTAAACTACTGAAAATGAATTTCT